TATAACAAAAATTCTTTGACGTAAACGTCTTTAAAAACAATAATATACATATTAAAAATAATAATATATTAATCGTGCATAAAGTTTTGTATGCATTGCTGGCATAACTGGTTTTTATGGTCCTACGACACTTTTCTAGCCCTCGCGCTAACGCGCTCGGGCTCGAAATAGAACCTCGGGACATAAAAACCTTATTATACCCTTAATACATAAATAACTATTAAAAATTAAAAATACATTTTTTACTTGGTATATACAGGGTGTTTCACATTCGTGGTCCATTAGAAATTTCTGGGGAACGGAAAAAGATATCGATTTGAAATTTTAAAAGCTTTTATAATCCATTTAAGTCTATTTTTCTAAAATATTTTAAACAAAATTCCACTTCCGGTTTAACAGGAAGTGACATCAACTTTGTTATTTCAAATAGAACACCTCATATATTTTTCCATTTTTAAATTCGACCTAAAATACTCAGTAAAATAACTATACCATATCCTATACCTAAAGTGAATATTTTTCGAGTTATTAATTTTTGTTGTTAAAATTTGACAAATGCTCGTCAATCAAAATTAGCTTATAGTTTTTTTTATAATTGAGTTTGCGAATATGGGGGTGGAATTGTAATTTTAAAACATTGTTTAAAAGATTTTGTCATTTTTTTTAACATTTTTTAACAAATTACCTGAAAAATTAGGATCAAAACCTAAATCACTTTTTTATTTTAAATGTAACATCCGGTATGGTTTTACGTAATCAAAAAGTAAATTAAAAAACCTTTTGATTGATTGACCATTCCCTATATAAATTTAATAATTTCAGAGATTTTTAACAATTTATAAAATTTTAAACAAAATTACTGATCAAAAATTGCAGTGACTTATAATAAACATTGACTAGCCAAACATTTTTAAAATTTAAAAGTAATACAAACAGTATTTGCTTATTTTGAAAAAAAAATATCAAAGCTGTAGGATGTCAACTAGATGAAGCCTAGCTCATTGGAGACAATAAAATATAATGTTTATTTTATGAAATATATAATAACAAAAAGAATGGGTAACTGTACCTAACCTTTTAATAAACCAACAATATTTTAATTAACAATTTGTTGTACTAATGTATTACTAAATGTTTTGTCCTTCATTTACATTAAAGCATTTCTTGATTCTTACTTCTACATTAGACGTTGTTCTTCTTGACTATTCTGGGTATAATATTAGAGATTGTTAAATAGGTATCTCTAAAAATATTAAATTTAGGTATAGGGAATAGTTACATCAATCGAAATGTTTTTTAGTTTCCTACTTGATTATGTAAAAACATACAGGGTGTTATATTTAAAACAAAAAAGTTATTCCCTGATAGCACAGTTTATTCTAAGAATGTTTTTTAAACCTTCCAGTGGGAATATTCTTAGGATCATGCTATATTTCTTCTAGTCATGTTCTAAGAATGTTTTTTAAACCTTCCAGTGAGAATATTCTTAGGATCATGTTATATTTCTTCTAAAGAACATGCTTAAAAGAAATATAGCATAATCCTAAGAATATTCTCACTGGCCTAAAGGCAGGTTTTTAGAAGGTGCAAAGTGTAGTGGTAAAAATTAATCCACTCTAAACATATGCTTAGAATGTTGAGAAAGTAATTGCTATAGAAAGTTAATTTAGGAATATTCCTGGAACATTCTGTTAAGCGTATTCAGTTCAGTTAGGTATACCTATATAATAGTAAAATATACCATAATCTACGTATAAAGGTACCTATACTTAGTATTAAATACTAAGTAAAAAACACAACCCAAAATATTTTTTTATAGTTATTAAAACAATATTCGATAACAAAAATACTTTTACTAAGTATAGGTACCTATCTAAATTATCCGGCTTTTACATAAAATCTTTTATCCAACTTAAATACAATGAAAAATGTTTTTTTTATGAAGAACTATTTGGTTTTTTCTTTTATGAAGAATTATTTTATAAGGAAATATTTTGTTTTTTTATATTTTATTTTATGTTAAAAATAAATATTTCACTGTCATATTATGACAGTGAGGCGTATTTGTCGCCTCCTGAAGAATTTTACGAATGTAGAATCCTTAGAATCCTTTTTTGTTCTAAGGTAGAATCCAACATATTAGAACGTGGGTATCTGACATATTTGAAAATATTCTCAAAAGCTTCGTAGAAGCTCCATAAGAAACCTTCTAAGAACATTCCAAAAACGTATTCTTAAAATGTTCTTAGAATGCTTTTTAGGAAGGTTTTAAGAAGCTTCTAAGAATCTAATTGCATCATTAAAAGGGTATCTATTGAATGTTTTAAAAGTCCCTAAGAATATTCTTAGCAAAAAGGGAAGGTTCTAAGAATATTCCATTATTTCGGGTCATATCTTCTTAGAAGATTCTTAGAATCAAATTTTGCTATCAGGGTTAACGTTTCAAGATAGACTAATTTGACATGGTTTTTCTCAAGTAATTTGTTGAGATATGTTAAAGAATTGATATGAAATGTTTTAAGATTCCAAAAATTCCACCCCATATCCGCAAACATAATAACGACAAAGTTATATGCTATTTTTGATTGACACCCATTTGTCAAATTTTAACGAAAAAAATTAACTTTAAATTTAAAAATGTAAAAATATGTGGGGTGTTCCATTTGATTTTACGTGGGATATTTTCTAAATATTTTAGAAAAATAGACATACCTACTTGGAGTACACTGTGCGACACTTTTCGGGTCATCGAAATCAACCGCACCGGACCACTTTTTTCTGAAAATATACCTATCCAATAGCAAAACCCTCGCTGGGTTTGTAAAAGTTAGATCGAATTTTTTTTTATGGCCGTTTGTATTTTCGAGCTTCATATACCCCAATTTAGACCTATAAATCGATTTTTTGCGCATATATTCGATTTATATCGTCAAGATTTTTTGTAGAAATGTAGTTACTGCACAAATAAACCCATTTTGTGAACAACCTTTATCCCAAAAACCCAATTTTTAGGGACCAAATATTCGAAATTTTTTTTTTTAATTTTTTGATAATATTTAAAATTTCTTGCTACTTCTTCTGGCAAAAATGTTGTAAAGTATACTAAAAGAAGTAATTTATAAAATACGCACACAAAACTGAACTTTAAGTTTGCTTATTTGCTGGAAAATAATGTTTAAACAAGATTTTCCAAAATATTCATCTTTTCACACTCAAAACCAAATATTTTGCCGAAAAATCTGTAGGAAAAAATTGAATAGATAAAATAGAATTGTAGAAAAGTACAGAGTTTGATTTTTTATTTTGTATTAATTTTATTATTAAAAAACTTTTTTATATCAAAACATTGAGTAATCTGATTCATTGCTAAAGAATTCCATCCCTTCCACTTCTTCTCCTTTATTTCCTTGCTCTTCATTTTGGAGAATTTCATCCTTTTCACTTCTTCTCCTTTATTTTCTTGTTCTTCATTTTCATTTTTTGATTCATCACTGGAGAATTTCATCCCTTTCACTTCTTCTCCTTTATTTTCTTGTTCTTCATTTTCATTTTCTTCCTGATCGAAGTCAAAAATATGTTAACTTCACCAAAATGTTTCGGCTAGTATGGCATCTGGAGCTCGTTTTCCTCTTTATTTGGAATCAAATGGCATCGCAGTTTGATGATTGTGGCCCACGCACATATCTCATTGTCAACCAAGGCCCTGTCAAAGTCTTCATACTTTACCAATTTCCGAATATCAGGACCATTTAAAACGCCTGAAATGAAATAAATATAAAAAATATATGAAATGAAGGGATGAAATTCTCCAGTGATGAATCAAAAAATGAAAATGAAGAGCATGAAAATAAAGGAGAAGAAGTGGAAGGGATGGAATTCTCCAGTAATAAATCAGATTAGATACTCAATGTTTTGATATAAAAAAGTTTTTTAATAATTTAATTAATACAAAATAAAAAATCAAACTCTCTGTACTTTTCTACAATTCTATTTTATTTAATTTTTTTTTATTTTATTTTATTTTATATATATTTTTTTTATTTATATATTTTATATCTATTCAATTTTTTCTTACAGATTTTCCAAAGATTTTGGCAAAAAATTTGGTGTTGAGTATGAAAAGATGAAAATTTTGGAAAATCTTGTTTAAAAATTGTTTTCCAGCAAATAAGTAAACTTAAAGTTCAGTTTTGTGTGCGTATTTTATAAATTACTTCTTTTTTGTCAGAAGTAGCAAGAAATTTTAAATATCGAAAAATTGAAAAAAAAATTTTTCGAATATAGATATAGGTTGTTCACAAAATGGGTTTATTTGTTCAGTAACTACATTTCTACAAAAAATCTTGACGATATAAATCGAATATATGCGAAAAAAAGTCTAAATTGGGGTATATGAAGCTAGAAAATACAAACGGCCATAAAAAAATAAATCGAGCTAACTTTTACAAACCCAGCGAGGGTTTTGCTATTGGATAGGTATATTTTCAGAAAAAAATAGTCCGGTGCGGTTTGATTTTTGGTGTTGCACAGTGTTATAAACGCTTTTAAAATTTCAAATCGATATGCCGTTCCCCAGAAACTTGTAATGGACCACGAACGTGAAACACCCTGTATATTCTTTGTAAGGCAGATATTTATGGGGGACAACCAATTACCAAAATGTTCTAACTTTATATACTTCGCCGAATTATAATTTGACGAAAAAACAAAACAGGTTTTGTCTTAAAACATTTTCATTTCTTGGTAATTTTTTATCTTACGTAAGATTTATAATATTCCCAGATTCCTTTGTTAGAAAAGAAATAAAAAATTACAAAATATTAACCAATAAAATAATATTTCCAGGAAATCTTGTCAAAGGCACTGATTAAAGTAAACAAAATAAATTTGCCACTTGACCTCAGAATTTTATCAACTTTCCTAAAAATCTGTGCAATGTTATGTTAGTATACTTAAACAAAAAAAATCACTAGCATGCGAACACATTAAAAATTGAAAACCTTAAAATAGGTAGCTGTCTTGTTGGCAGGTTCACATGATACCTTCTAAAAAGTTTAAAAATGTTATGGGGTTATTTTGGTTAGATAAAAATCGCATTTTTCACAAAGCCTTGTATTAAAAATAATTAACTTAAAACTTTAGAACCAACAACATTTCAAACATTTGATTATCCAAATAAATATTAGCTTGACACTGATAGAAAATTAACCTAAATTATTTTAATCAAAGTCACGTGGTGGAATAGTATTTTTTCTACTCCTATTACGGAATTTGCCCCTTCTAATATCACTTTTATCTATGGAATGACATATATTCCGTAAAGTGTTACAGAATGAAATATTCTATCATCTGATGACAGAATAAACACTCGTGGCGACATCTCTGTTTTTAATATCTAATATCTTAACAGATTATAGACCGATCCAACCTCACTTTCTTCCAATTAAATTATTTTTCTATGGAATTTTTTTGAAACGTAGAAAAAGTATAGTCTGAAACACGTTTGGAATTGCATATTCCGCTCTCGTGAAACAGTCAAACTCGCCTTCAGCTCGTGTGACAAACTCTTCACTCGAGCGGAATATGCTGTATTCCAAACTTGTTACAGAATATACTATTATGTATGACAAAAAATCTTACCCAATATTATACCAAATGTCAAAACAGCAGACATTCATCCATGTGAACAGCGATGTGCTAAAGTAAATTAATGTATATCCTAAAACAACAAAGTATTTATATATATAAACGTAGGTTTGCCTAATAATTAGAGTGAATTAGCTTAGCTATAAACATAAAATTACAATTAAGTAAGTATTGAAGCGTTCTATAATTTGAACTTATTATTGTCAACACTCACTACTAATGTGATTAATTAATCAATTGGCTTTAAAAATATTTTAGACCAATAGGGTAAAGTTTGTGAACCAATCAAAAAATTAGACCACTGTCAGATCTACCTACCCTTACTTCCTACTTTTATGTTTTGTTTTAGGGGGACATATTTGCATATTAATTTCATCACTGTAACTTCAACCCTTTAGCGGGGACGGTCGCCAAGCAATGGAATAGAGTAATTGCATCAAAAATGAAAATCCCTAAAAACCTTTTTAATGTAATCTGGAGGTAAAAACACATTGCAAAAATATTTTTTTATATTCCAAAAGTTCAACCCGGCCCCAAAATATCAAATTGAAAAAAAGGTACTTTTCAAACGTTCCGAACTCCCGCCATATTGCATGACGTCATAAGCTTCACCAGCTGTCAGAAATCAAGATGTCAACAAATAATAAACACCGATAAAGTTTATGTTTAACATGAAAAACGCGAAACCAAAAATTGGTTGTAATTTACATTTACATTTACAACTTGTAAATATTGTTTTGTGCCTTGTTGTACAAATACAACCTGGAAAACTCCTGGGAAAGTTGTCCCTTCAATTATCAAAAGCAAAGTTTATGACCCTACACTGAGAGTAGTTACGGCTCAGCCGTATTTTCTTGAATTTATTAATATTTAACATACCTATTCAAACCATATACCTAGTAAACGACATTTTATTTTACTTACATTAAAATGATCCTTAAAATGAGCAATAAAATGGTGACGATGTTTTGATATCGCGCCGAGCTATTTTAATCCACTTTATCCTTATTTTTCCTTTTGGCACGGTGATAAACCTTTTCCCAGGAGTTTTCCAGGTTGTATTTGTACAAGGCACAAAACAATATTTACAACCAATTTTTGGTTTCGCGTTTTCCATGTTAAACATAAACTTTATCGGTGTTTATTATTTGTTGACATCTTGATTTCTGACAGCTGGTAAAGCTTATGACGTCATGCAATATGGCGGGAGTTCGGAACGTTTGAAAAGTACCTTTTTTTCAATTTGATATTTTGGGGCCGGGTTGAACTTTTGGAATATAAAAAAATATTTTCGCAATGTGTTTTTACCTCTAGATTACAATAAAAAGGTTTTTAGGGATTTTCATTTTTGATGCAATTACTCTATTCCGAACATTTTACTGGAACGCTTATTTACAAATTTCGTAAAGCAAAAAATTCGTTTAAACAAATGTTTGGAAACTATAGTAATAGCTATTAATCGACAAATCGACTTTATCTTCAGTAAAGTAGTAACAGCAACTTTGTTTAATGAGAGACATGCATAGACACGTACATCATGGTTACATCCTAGAATTAGTAGCACAATTTCGGCAAACTGGTTCAGTGGAAAATAAAAAACGAGATATTAAAAATCCGGTGAGAAATGAGGCAGTAGAAGTAGCTTTTCTGGGTGAAACTACTTTGGACCCTACATTAAGTACCAGAAAACTTTCTGATGTAACAGGAGTTTCTAAAATATAAATGGCAACCATAACATTCAACTTCTTCAAGAATTTCATGAAAATGATGTCCGAAATAATTATAAATACTTCCAACTACCTTTTTAATGTTTGCTTCTCAGACGAATGTTAATTTTTTCTCAATTTAATTATCGTTATTTGTTTACGACACGAATCCAAGGATCTTCGATCATCCTCCAAAACTATAGTTTTATAAACGTTTGGGCTGGTATTTTTGGTGATCACATAATTTAAGCATTTTTCTTACCGGGAAAGTTAAATGAAGCTACTTACTTAGACTTATTGGAGAATGCCGTCAACCCAGCTCTGATAGAAATTATGGAAAACGACCAACGTTACCATGAAGAAAATCCGATATTTCAGCAAGTATGCATTACCTGTACGGCAGTTTCTGGATGAAACGTTTACTGGTAGATAGATTGGGAGAAGGGGTGCTATCGAATGGCCAGCGAGATCACCGGATTTATTTCCCCTTGATTTATTTTTGTGGGGACATCTGAAATCCAAAATTTATGCCACCCAGCCTGAATCCTTAGAAGATTTACGGAACCGCATCACTAATGAATGCCAACAAATTACACCCGATATTCTTGACAATGTCCGGGAACACTTTGAACAGTTGCTGTACTATTGAATAGAGTTGAACGGCGGACATTTTCAACAGTTAATAAGATAATACGTATAGTACTAATCAATTAAATTAAATTAAATTTCTCGGCAACCAGCAGCACAAATTTAAAAAAAAGCGAAGCGATATTTTAAAGAACATGTAATGCCCTTTCAAAAGATGTATCACAACATACCCCTTCCCATTTGAAAAAATAAGGGTGAATGCCACCCCCCTAAGGGGTTGAAGTTACAGTGATAAAATTAATGTGTAAATATGTCCCCCTAAAAACAAAAGTACACGGTTCCTGTATATTGCAATATAATTGCAAAAAATCGATAATATTTATAGTTTATTTGTTATAATTAAAACTGCCTAAATTTAGAACATTCTGTACATAAAATAAATTACCAAAATTGTAATACTCACCAAAAATAACACAAGTAAAATGAGGTAAGTCCGTTCCATACCACGTGTTATAAAGCAGTAACGAGAACAAAATCAGTATCGACAAGCAATAGTTTACCAATACCTTGCCAAAAACGTTTCTGACTTCGTTGGTGATGAAATAAATTATGATCGTGATCGTCAAAAATATTATCGACGCCACTTTCGCCCATATTGTGGCGTTGAACTTATTAATACCATCCTCGGGGGTGGTACCTGCAGAACCCTCAGAAGCGGGTTTTTCCTTACATTTAAAAAGGTTATACCCGTTGGTAATATTGCTGGATACTGGTGCACCCTGTACATACTCAATGCAGAACGTAGAGTTCGCGAAACTCTCCACCTGGGTAGTATTGGTTACCGTCTGGACCCACTTGACGGTACCGTTGTCATCTATAGAGAAATTACCTTTACAGTGTCCTCCGAACGTTATTAATGTAAAATTTCCTAAAAACAAGAAAGTATGAATAACATATGTAACACTGTTTTATTGAAATTGATTTTATTTGTTTTGAGAACAGCAACTGTTGTTTTTTCAATTAACAATAATGTTTCGCCATATGTTACTCGTATTTATTTATTACCTATTTTATTACACAGTTAATTTTTTTAAAGTTCCCATAATGTTGCTAATCGCGTAATTAGATACGAACAAAACAATAAAGTTAAAAATCAATATTATTTTTATTTGATATGGCTCAAAATAAGTATTGTTAAGTAGTTTTAAATATATTTCGTTCTAAAATTAAAGTCATAACATTTTTACTACTTAATATACTGGTCAGATTTTTAACCCGGACATTTTATTTGTTGTTGCTTACGAAGAGAACGAGTCGACATTTTTTCACCAAATTTGGTGAAAAGTTGCTGGGCTAACGTAATTACTTTCCTATTGAAAAAGCACCGGATCGGTCAAAAGCTTTTCTTTCGCTGTAATTAAATTTTGTAAGGGGGGGGAATTTGCACACTGGTATAAAATATAAATAAAAAATGGTGGGACAAATTTCCAATAACTTCCAAATTTTAATTTAAATTTTCCAATAATTCTATGTTCAAATTTGTTTAAAAATTTTAAGTTATCCAAAATAATATTGCTGGATACTGGTGCACCCTGTACATACTCAATGCAGAGCGTAGAGTTTGACGGTAACCAATACTACCCAGTATTGGTTGCCGTCTGGAACCACTTGACGGTACCGTTCTCATCTAGAGAGAAATTGTACCTATCCTGTTTCCAAATATTTATTTCTTTACATTCACCTCTGAACGTTAATATTGAAAAATTCACTAAAAATAAGAAGTTATAAATAAAAAATTATTGTGGTATGTTTTGTAAAAGAAATATTTCCAGATTTATAAGAATTCGACCCAATGACCAAAAACTGTATGGTGAGACGAAGGGTTGATCGCAAGAAATCTGCTGACCATAAACCTTGTATTACTACTTTTTTTTAGTAAGACCGATTTTTATATATATTTTTTTACTAATAGATATGTAATTATATTTACAACACCATGTGAATTATTAACTAAGAAATAAAGATGGTTTAATTTTATAAAGTTTTTTTCATTAAGAGTGATGATCTTTGAATTGGAATTAAACAAGGAGCAAAAGGAAAAGAAATAAGGGGGCATCCATTAATTACGTGAGGTATTTAGGGGGGAGGGGGTCGAGCCAAACCTCACCCAATTTCACGTGGGGGGAGGGTCGTCTCGGCAAATATAACGTAATTTTTTTTACGAATGAAACAGTGTAAAATTTCGAGAAAATTGGGTTGAATTAAACAATTATAAGCAAATTGTTTTTTTTGAATAAATCTAATTTAATTAATCACAGATTAACTTATTTACATTAAAACCGTGCAAAATCTCACGACATCTCACCAAGGGGAGGGGGAGTCGAAAAATCTCCAAAATTGCCTCACGTAATTAATGGATGACGGATGACGGAAGGACCGATGACGCCGCCAGACCAAAATCCACAAATTATTAATTTCAATTCAAGGTTTTAATCGAAATTTCTCAAAAATTCTTAAAATTGATAACAATCGTTTTGCAATATTTTTTTTTTTAAGAAACCAGTTTATGTTTTTTCGAAAGTTTTTCCTAAACAATATCTTCTTTTATATAATCTGCTTAAACTCATTAAATTTATTTTAAATATGCTATCATAATTAATTAATAATATTATGTTTATGTTTATAGGATGATTGAAGACAGAGATCGGCAAAAGAATAAACAACAAAATATAAAAATAATTAGTAGCAGCTGATTCCATAATTGCCTGAAAACTTAATAACGGTCATAAAAATAACGATTTCGAAATAATGGCTAATTACAATGATCCAATTAATTAAAAATATTAAATGTCAACAATATCGCTGGCAAAAAAATAATAATTAAATATTCCCGATTATCATTCTTTATTATTATTATTGTTAGTCGACATGGTAAGATTATAAATATATTTAGGATTTAATGGTGTTTAATAACAATCGTTTAAAGGCGGAAAATTGAAAAAAGAATGCTAAAAAAATCGGCCTGGACACAGGAGTTTTAAATGAGTCATAGTTCACATAATAATGACGCCAAAAACTGAATGCGCTATCAAAATAAGGACGTTTAAAAACATGTTTTTCAAAATTGTAGGTGATCCTTTTTTTTTAATTTTGGATGTTAATTCAAATACCAACTGTAATTTAGTGACTTATTTAGGTTTTTTGTGAATTTCTTTAAAACTGAGCCCTTAGGAAAAAAATTAAAATCAAGAATTAAAGACGACAAAGTAATCTATTAAATGATGCTTAAAAAACCGCAACCATTGGCGTGGATATAATTTTTTTAATTACAAAATGTTTAAAAACTTAATGTTTTTGCACATTTATCGCCAAAACCATATTTTACAAAAAAAGGAAAGGACAACAGAAAATGGTTTATCTTAAAAAAAACTACGTATTTAAAAAAAAGCAGGCAGAACCCTTAAATAAATTGAGCACCTAAGTAATGTATGTTTAGTTGAGGTAACTTTACATAAGTACGCAATACTATAGATTTTTTTATGTTCTCCTTGTTGGCAATTAAAGGTAAGCAACTGATGGTAGTATACTACCATCAGTTGCTTACCTTTAATTGCCAACAAGGAGAACATAAAAAATCTAGTTAGCCATCACTTTTGACTACGTATTTTGGAAAAGACTAGTGAAATTCTGGGAAAAGAACAGGCGTTGAGATGGCCTAAAACACTAAATTTGGTCTCTAAGAACTACCAAGGTGACATATTTAAGGAAAATGCATGTTAAACGCTTCTTAAAGTTGCCGTTTGGTCACTTTACCATACGTGTCCTAATTTAAGACTATAAATTAGGACACGTATGGTAAAATGACCATATATGGATAAATTAGTTAAGAATTATTTTTTCACCAAAACGCCAAATAAAATTTCACATACAAACATTGGTAGTTATGTTTAAAGCTGCTGTCAGCAGCCTGCTGATATATCTCAAACTTTAAAAATGCATGTACTAATCACTTGGAAGAATGTCCACCGTGAGTTTATAAAATTTTTGAAATAAATACAAGATAAACACCATGGCACATCGTACATAACTTCAAAGAGTCGTTAAAAAGAGCAGTGTAGGGTTTTCATCAAACAATATTTAATGCTTTTTCTCTTGTGATATCATTACTTTTATTATAATAAATAATACCTATTTGACAATTATTAAGTACTTACTTGTCCTTTTTTATATTTATATAATTATTATATTTTTTAAGGAAAAATGATTCTGCAATGTTGAAAGTAACCTATGGCAGGTTATTTACAAAAAAATTAAACATACCCAGTTAAACATAAGAAATTCACGACTACGTCCATGGATTTCGTAGGCTAATAGTCCATGCATAATTATGGAGGCATGATTTAATATTCATGAATATGAAGGTGCACCTTTATTTCCTTACCCTGTCGAAAATAAAGCGTGCATGAAAAATGAATCTGTTTTTGTAATAGGCACACAGGTGGCAAGAAACAGTATGCAAACAATGTGAAAAATCAAAAGGAGTTCCCTTTAGAACATTGTCCAGTGATTATTCACACTTTTAAATTTTTGGTTTTGCACATTGTTTTTTTAAAAGATTGCACATTGTTGGCACATTGTTCTCAAATAATTTTGCACACTTTTTGCACATTTTATTTTCGTCAGGGTATTTAAACATTTTTTCCAAAGGCCTCTGTTAAATTGAATCACCAAATGACGTTTGATACTTGGATTATTAAGCAAAACTTCAAAAAAGGAACAGCTACAATTTTGAAAAACATACTTTTAAAGTTCAGAGGACATCCTTATTTCAATACTGCAGTCAGTTCTTGGCGTCATTTTTATGTGACCTATGACTCGTTCAGGACCACTGTGTGGAGGAGGTAATTCCTGGGACCTTAAAATGCCCAAAACAACGCCCCGGGAAACCCGACCAGATCATCTACTGAAAAAATTCTATATTTGGCTATAAATTTGAAAATATGTTTTTAGATTCGCTTTATCTTGATAAAGAAACCATGGTTGGTGGATCGTAAATATTCGTATTATCCTCGTTTCATTGCGCTAGATGGAGGAGGAAGCAACAAAACATAGCTTTCCACACAGAAAAAAAAGAATGGTTTATTTAACTATTTATATTAATTTATTTGACCCGTATTTATTTAAATCAACTGTGAGAAGTTTAATATAAACAAAGATTAGAGTAGGTATTATTTACTAAATGGTGATAAAAATACCATTTAATCTAAATAAGCTTAAAACAAATTATTTTCTTATATTATGCATAATTGCTTATCCCTTTGCGGTGGGGCAAATAAAAATAATTTGATTAAAATAATTATGCAGTCATTGTAAGATAATATTCATTTAGTAGCCACATCTTAAATAAATGCAAATATTAAATTCATTTTTCAGGAATGGTTTATGTAGATACGAGAAACATTATTTCACTTAAAAAGAGAGATTTGGAAATAAAAAGCAGTTTATAATAATAATATAATTAATAAAAAATATTAAAACAAATTTTATATTGAAGAAATAATAAAAAATGTGAATTTCTCTAAGAATAAACTTTACAATAAAATAGAATTTAAAAAGAAATAATATGTTTGTCATAAATTAAATAAAAAGTCGCAGCTAAGGGTTCCAAAAATATAAGTGCAAAATAGAGTTGGTCATTTAAATTGATATTTGAAGCATTAAAACTTGACAATTGAAGATTAGAGAAATGTCTTATTTTCGGATAAATCCAGAATTGGCCTACGACCGGTGAATTCGTATTTTAAGAGGTCGTGGGAGTCTCCCACTGGGAGACAAGCTAGACTCAGCTGGACGATTGATCCCTCAAGGCAAAGAATGATTTTCATTAGATAATCCCTATAGGGATTGAACCTTATAAAAGGTTCAAGTTATGTGGATTCATAAAACTATAGTTCTACAACTCGTAGTAAGACTCTGAAAAGGTGCTTTCCGTGATTTATACAGGATAATGAATCTCCATTTATCAGCAGAGTTGCCAAAAATTGTTTGTAGGTAGATGTTTTAGTTTTGTTCACCGGATCTTAATCGAATTGAGAAATTGTGGAATAAGGTTAAAAGAAGGATTATATTGCTCTATAGAGCTAGTTAAAATAGCCCTGACAATACAGAGAAACTAATAAAAGTAGTTTTAGAGGGGTCAGGAAATGTTTTTCAAGAAGAAATTCATAACTTAATGAAAAGCATGCCTCGTTGAATTAATGCTTGCATTGATGCTAGAGGTTGCAATACTAATTATTTAATTAACAAAAACCTATTATTCCTTCTTAAATTCTAATTTACCGTAAAGTTTATTATCAGAGAAATTCAGATTTTTTGTTATTTGTTCAATACAAATTTTTTTTAAATATTTTTTACTGATAAAATTAGATAGGATAAGTTTTTTAATTCATTTTTAAAGTAAAATAATGTTTATCGTAATTACTGAGTGATTCCATATAAGATTGTTTTTAACGATTGTATGACATTTGACAACTATACGGGCGTTTCTCTGTAAACTGGGCAACTTGAAGTAAGAAATTGTCTAGGCAAGTTTTTTGTTATATTTTTGTTGTATTTAATAAATGTTATTCGAGGAATAAATATCGGTCTATTTATTAGTATACGGCAGATGAACCAAAAATATTCCTATTACTTTGGAAAACATTGAGCATTTTATGAAAAATCTATACAGGGGACTGTTTATAAAATCCGGAGACAAAGTTTTGATGACTTTTTTAGAATACAAAATAATAATTATAAAAAATAAATAAGTCACAGTAACAAGCAAACAATATTGGTTGAATAATTCAACAATTAGGTTGATTCCAATAGTTACTGTCTTTAATTAATTTAGTCTGAAGTGACCATTTTGCTTTGGTGACACGTCAGGGGACTGGTTTTTAAGGACTATAAAAACGATTTTGATACATTAAAGTTTATTTTATTGGATTTTGAACGTCGAGCATAGGTAGATTAGGTTATTATCTTTTGAATTTATCTACGAAATATTTATGATCTGTTATTTTTCTAAACAATATTAGCTTGAGACAATGAGTTGCCCAGTTTACAGAGAGACGCCCATACACTAACTTAAAACTAATTTTAGCCCGTGACTAAAAACTGTTGCTATATCTCCATTATCTTTACTCAAGATTTTTACTAAAATAGCTATTATATACCTATAGGTAGTTTTTCAAGTAGTAAAATGGGAAAATCCGCTTATTTTAGTCTTGGACATTAATAATTAGTAAGGCCCGGATTTTTAGGTCATAAAAAAGTGATAAAAGGTTTCTAAATTAGGTGATATTTTTAATAAAATAGGTTATTATTTTAGTTACCTATATTTTAGGTACTTAATTAAAAAGTTAATATTGGTTGGCCCGTATTTTTAGGTTATAAAAAAGTAAAAAAAAATGCAAAAAATAGGTCACATAGTTATAAAATTAGGTTATTATATTAGGTGCCTACATTTCAGGTACTTAAATAAAAAAAATAAAAGCTGATTTATTGAAATAAAATGTTTTCATTACAATGTCGATATCGTTGTAAAACCATACATAGGTCTTATGTAGTTTTAGTTACATTATAATTGTTCTGTTAATGTCCGGCAATAAAGGATTTAAATTAAAAATGAAATAGTTATTAAAATAATATTTATTATTAACATTAACTGAAAAAAAATGTTTGGTTGAAAAAATAACAAATAAAATAAAAGATTCTTTAAAAAAGTAAATATATCATATCACAAATAATGTAAAATAGCAAAAAACATAATAGGAACTCTAAAATTACAAAAAAAACAAAATAGGAACTCTAAAATTAAAAAAAAATAAATTTTGTTAATTTATTTAACGATTATATGCATGACAGACAAAATATTTCTCCAAGTTTTCAGAAGTAAAGCTAGTGCGTTTATCAGTTAAAACATTTTTAAACCAAGAGAATGACCGTTCAACGTCACAGGATGGGTAAAAAAAGTTAATTTTAGGTATTAAAAATACAATTTAGGTGCAAAAAAGGAAAATAGGTGAAAAAAATATAAAAAAGGTATTTTAGGTCAAATAAAACTTGGTCAGATGACTCCATTTTTTATAAAACGGACAAATACAAAAAAATATCTTTAAAACCTAAAAAACCAAAAAAAGGTGTTTTACCTAAAATCCGGGCCTTAATAATTAGTTTATTTAAGTATACCTACTCAAAACTAAGCTCGCAAAATTAAATTTAAACAATTCCTAAAAATTTGTTAGGTACTCACAGTTTACTAAACTGAGTTTAGTTCCAATTTATAGAATAATCAAACATTTTATTACCATGAAAAGCATTAAAAAAATCAAATTTCATCGAGTTTTTTAATTTTAAAATAAAAATCTTAACCCTGCAAGGCATGCCTTATAACGCCCACTGTTGTGTTATAAAGTGTAGTGTTAAAAAACTGAACCGCAATATCGATGGCTTTTTGCCAAAGTATCGCAAGCAACATAACCCAAATTTTGGGAATTAAATACATTTTGTTTGTCTGTTTTAAATTAAATATAGCATAAAGGTTGTATAATAAGTAATTACTTAGCTTATAATTATAGCCAATTACTTATAAAACCTATAGGTTATATTTGGTTTAAAACAGACTTTAAAACAAAAAATGTTTTCAATACCCGAAATTTGAGTTATGTTGCTTGCAATACTTTGGCAGAAAGTCATCGATATTGCGACATATGTCATTGTCATAACTTTGAAGCGACAAGATTTTTGTTAAAATATAATGGTGGTTTGTTATTAAGTTTTATATGTTACATATATTACAGTAATAAAGTCGAGAATAAATAACCGGTTTATAACCTTTCACAGGTAACAAATTATATTATTGAATTAAATAAATTTATTTGTTTTAATCAGTTCCTAAATAAACAAATTTGGTGACTACTAAAATAGCAATTGTTTATTTTAATGATAAATAGCAAATAATAAAATTATTAGGGATCGTGAAAACAAAACAAAATTGAAATTACGAATAATAACACAGGATACTTTTTTTGTTTGTTTTATATACATATATTTTTTTAATATAACTTTAATAATGCATTAATTTTAAATAAATATTATTTTAAAAAACTTCAAAAAAAAATTGTATTGTTTAATTTCGATCAGAAACTTTCAATTCTAACTAAATTAATTAATAAGTATGGTGTTTCTTATAAGACTGCTATAACAGTGCCAAGTTAGATCACACAACTTTTTTATTTTTTGGGCCTGTGTAATTTATGACTGGTAAATTTGTATGTTTTTTAACACTTCAAAGTAATTTATTATTATTATTATTATTTATGACTGGTAAATTTGCATGTTTTTTAAGACTAAATTATTTGTGTTTTATATTGGCATACAAATACGAATAAATCAGAAAAATATTTTTGTACATTCCTAAATTAATAAATCCAACACACATATTTTTCTGGTAATATAAATTTAATTTTTGTTTGGGTTAACTTTTAGGAAGTCGATAAAAAATTTAAAAAAATGTCTTATTTTAGATACCTACTTACTTTACTTTTTTGACTTAAAATATATCATAAGGAAAATTAAAATTAAATTTACACAGGGACGTAGCGAAGGATCCGAATAATAAAATGCCACTTTAAAGATAATAATAATTTTTACAGTGTGGCCTATTTGTTTGCGACTCACCCCTGTAAAATCCTTTATTTATTGAGCGATTAGTTTTAAAGTGTATTTCTTGATAAACTGTATTTTTGTAGCAAAAAACGCCAATTTTTACAAAATACAAGTCCTACTATGTCAGTTTTTAAAAGTATTTTTTTATGAATTCATATTGGCGATTTAAAAATATATGCACGGCACTGGATTCACCACCCCTCAAAACGATCATAGAGTAAATTTAACTGAAACTTTTTAGGTGGGAACGATTTTGTAGCTAAGTAAATTAAAAATGTGCACACAATAATTACTATTTACAAAAATTTATTTTGTCAAGTTATCCATGAAAAAAACATTGAAATAAAGTTAAACTAATATTAACATGGTATAAATATTCTTATGCTTAGTTTTAACAAATAAAAACCGCAATACAAACTTAAAACAACAATGAAACAAAAAATAATGAATTCAAAAAATTCTCTAAAATTAGATGTTCGTCATCTCTCCTGCACTAGAACTACGGGCTAGGGTTATACAAGCCTGCGCAGCCATTACTCCAGAACAAATATGAAAGTGTATTGAAATAAATGGTAGGAAAAATTTAATTGTAAAGAATTTTTGGAATTTTCCGTTTTATATGGATAATATTGCGAAAATTGTTCCTACTTAAGTTTTTAAATAAAATTTAGTATAGCGTCGTTTTAAGGGGTGGTGAATCCAGTGCCGTACTTAGATCTTTTTTAAATCACTAATATGAAATCCTAAAAATTTACTCTTTAGGCCTGTATTTTGTAAAAATTTAGAAAACATTATAATGTTTTCAAAAACTGACATAGTAGGCCTTGTATTTTGTAAAAATATGCGTTTTTGCTACAAAAATACAGTTTATCAAAATCTACCCTTAAATATAAATCCGGTTAAAATCGCTCAACAAAAAAAGACTTTACAGGGGTAAGTCACAAACAAATGGGTCACACTAATTCGCGATAAATTTAATTTGTCTGAAGATTAACTAGAACATTTTTTGTCCGGGGCACAAAATACTCCATTACCTATACAAATTCCGGCAAATGTAGGTATGACTTTTTAAAAGTTTAATATAAGTTTGGTAGGTATTTCAAATATTATTTACAAATTATTATGATGAAATAATGCATGACGAATTACCTTCGCAATGCGAAGTTCGCATGTCCGAAAAAAAAATATACATATCGATGACTTTTTGCCAAAGCTTTGTATTATAGTTATTTACTTGTCATAAAACCTATAGGTTATATGAGGAGCATCCGTGCAAAACCGGCTATATCAATGTTGGGAAAATGGCAAAAACTCTCGGTTTCCTGGCCTTTACAGATAAAAGAAAAAGCAAACTTGAGTTTTGTGGGCTTTGTGGTACTTGATTTATAAGACATACTTTCGTTTTCAATAACTTTATATTAAGGCCAAAATTTCAAAAAATGTTTTGTATAGCCGGTTTTGCTCAAAAACCGAATTATTATTGTAACTTGAATTTACAATGATAGGTTCAAGTTAGAATTTTAACATGGATATAGTCGGATTTAAACAGAATTATCTTGGTTGTCGATAGAAATAAACCAAAGATGCAAAATAAAAAAAAACAAAAACTGAATAAAATTTATTTAGCCGGTTTTGCACGGATTCTCCTCATATATGGTTTAAAACCGACGTTAAAACAAAAAATGTTTTCAATTCCCGAAATTTAAGTTAGGTATGTTACTTGCGATACTTTGGCAGAAAGTCATCGATATTCACATGATTTTTATTCCTATATTCGACTTGTCGTACCCCTTAAATTGGTTTAATACCACTCTGTATAAAGGGGCGGCACAAAGAACCTCTGAATTTATTTCTATTGAATTTAAGGAATGTGATATCCGAAAATGGCATCAAAGGTTCGTTTTGCCACTGCCCCCCTGGATCCAGGCCTGCATAATTATGACCTTGTTCAATTTGTAACTACCTGTTGGATCCATAATATTGGGATTGTGCGCCAAATCCACTCCTTTATCGTACGTATCCATGCATGAATTTCCACCAACAAAACTTTGACCATCCGGGCAACATTTACGTATGCATCTTGTAGATTTACAGATGTCGTCCTTTTCCTGACAAACTCTTACCATAAATTTATTGTCAGTGGTTTCCTCCACGCAATAATTCTTTGTTCTGAATCTCGAATTATTTTGTTTTAAGTGGATACCATCCTCTTCGATTTTATAGTCTTCTGTTGAGTTTATTTTGTGGTCCACAATAAAGTGACACTGCGGTAAACCGATTTTTATGTACTTCGATTCAATGAACTGTTGATTTTGTGGTTTTTGGAAAACACAATAATGTTTGATTGTGTCAAACTTGTAGTTTAAAGGACAGCATTTGGGGAAGTATTCCTGTATTACTTTACTCTTTGCTATCACGTTGTTTTTGATGTTGTACAGGGTGAAGTCTTTGGCACCGTCCACACAATAACCATCTGTATTTTTCGAGATGTAGTCGTATTTTTCACTCAAAAAAGTCAATCTTGTGTTGTTGTCCACTTTACACTCAAAGGTACTGTTGTTTAAGTACAAACTACTTTTCCAGGCACAGCATTTTTCGTAGTCGGCGGCTGTAGCAACGCTGTATAACAACAATCCCACTACAATAAACAAAAACATTTTCACATTGCGCACTTTAGGTTTTATTTTAGATGAGTTAAGCTCGACCAGCCGATTAATTGTAACGAAAGTTGCGCCCAACAAGTGGTTTTGTTTAAGAACTTGGAGATGACGTATACAAGGTTTGGCTGTGATGGTAGTTAGATATAAGTTAAGGGATCCCTCGAGGGAGTTAATTAAAGAAATGCATATTGATTTGCGATTTAGCTCGTTTTCTAATATAAGAAAAATGTCTCCAGTAAAATATATAGTTTGTAATAGAGTAAGATCTGGTTATTTGAAAAAATATATACCTTCTCAAAACATTAAATTTTCCGGTGGGTAGTTTAAATTTTAATTAAAATTAATTTTCCGCTGTCTTTACATTTCAATTTTTTTGTTGGTATTTTTAGTGGTTTAATTTCAATAGATTTTTTTATTTTATTATTGAATCAATTGATTTTTTTTATTAATCTATAAAACTTATTGATATTTATAATTTAAATTTAAAGAACTCAAAAAATGTTTAGTAGTATTTAAAAAAAATATTAATAAGGGTCGAATTAGTCAACTTAAATTCGAAAAGTTAAATAATATTAAATAATAAATAAATTCGCACAGTGGGATAAATTTAAAAAATTGTATAACAAATCCAAACAGTGAATCAAAATTTAAAAAAAGTAGGAAAAATTCGCAAAGTAGCATAAATTTAAAAAATGAAAGGGCAAGTGCCATCTGTCATCTCGATTTTTTATTGGGTAAATAGGTAACACCGCAATTCAATTTGGCAACGTCGCGTTCTTACTTTCTTGATATTTTTTTGGATTCAGATGGGGTATTTAATTTGGTTTTGAAAATGTAATTTATAAACATTCTTTAATTGCCAAAAGTTTTTTGTTTTATTTCGATGAAGATTATCTTTTAAGTAGTATGTTTTTGTACGACATGCTGTTTTAAATGATTAACCGTATCTATTTATAGATGGGTAGGTTGTGTTTACTGGTTGCTGGAAATAATACACAAAAATAACTACAATACCTTTATTTTGCATTTCTTTGAACAAAATATGGCAACCGGACATTTTCGTTTAAGTTCTTTCGGACTTCTTAAAAGTGCATAGCAATGTTTCGACTTCGTTGGTATTATATGGAACGTACCTATAATATATAATAAAATATTTATTAAAAAAACTATACGACTGATTATTAAAAGTTGTAGTTTTGTTACACGTGGTGGCGCTACTAAAAATGCTTCTTTAGCGTATTGTCAAACGCGCGTGACCAGCTGTTAGAAATTATCTTTTAAAAGTATGAATGATTCTGGAAACTACGAAAATACAGACATCGAACAATTGTGGGAAATAGGTAACCTATTTCCCACAATTGTTCGATGTCTGTATTTTCGTAGTTTCCAGAATCATTCATACTTTTAAAAGATAATTTCTAACAGCTGGTCACGCGCGTTTGACAATACGCTAAAGAAGCATTTTTAGTAGCGCCACCACGTGTAACAAAACTACAACTTTTAATAATCAGTCGTATAGTTTTTTTAATAAATATTTTATTCATGTTTATGTTTTTTTCAATAGCTTAATGATTATTCGTATAGTGGTAACATTTTACGGATAAGATGTTTGATTTTTATACGGATGTTTTTTTTCTTGAAAATTTTGCAGGTGGCATTAATTTTTAGACTACAAGCCGCTAGGCGAGTGGTTTTAAATTAATTCCACATGCGAAATTTCCAAGGAAAAATCTTGATTAAATAAAAATCAAAAATGTTCCTTTTTGGCAAGACCAACCCTGATAGCAAAATTTGATTCTAAGAATCTTCTAAGAAGATATGACCCGAAATAATGGAATATTCTTAGAACCTTCCCTTTTTGCTAAGAATATTCTTAGGGACTTTTAAAACATTCAATAGATACCCTTTTAATGATGCAATTAGATTCTTAGAAGCTTCTTAAAACCTTCCTAAAAAGCATTCTAAGAACATTTTAAGAATACGTTTTTGGAATGTTCTTAGAAGGTTTCTTATGGAGCTTCTACGAAGCTTTTGAGAATATTTTCAAATATGTCAGATACCCACGTTCTAATATGTTGGATTCTACCTTAGAACAAAAAAGGATTCTAAGGATTCTACATTCGTAAAATTCTTCAGGAGGCGACAAATACGCCTCACTGTCATAATATGACAGTGAAATATTTATTTTTAACATAAAATAAAATATAAAAAAACAAAATATTTCCTTATAAAATAATTCTTCATAAAAGAAAAAACCAAATAGTTCTTCATAAAAAAAACATTTTTCATTGTATTTAAGTTGGATAAAAGATTTTATGTAAAAGCCGGATAATTTAGATAGGTACCTATACTTAGTAAAAGTATTTTTGTTATCGAATATTGTTTTAATAACTATAAAAAAATATTTTGGGTTGTGTTTTTTACTTAGTATTTAATACTAAGTATAGGTACCTTTATACGTAGATTATGGTATATTTTACTATTATATAGGTATACCTAACTGAACTGAATACGCTTAACAGAATGTTCCAGGAATATTCCTAAATTAACTTTCTATAGCAATTACTTTCTCAACATTCTAAGCATATGTTTAGAGTGGATTAATTTTTACCACTACACTTTGCACCTTCTAAAAACCTGCCTTTAGGCCAGTGAGAATATTCTTAGGATTATGCTATATTTCTTTTAAGCATGTTCTTTAGAAGAAATATAACATGATCCTAAGAATATTCTCACTGGAAGGTTTAAAAAACATTCTTAGAACATGACTAGAAGAAATATAGCATGATCCTAAGAATATTCCCACTGGAAGGTTTAAAAAACATTCTTAGAATAAACTGTGCTATCAGGGAACATTCGTGTATTTGTACGCAAACTTTATAATCACGATTTCCTGTATTTTCCAATTAACATTAAGTATGAAGGTCATGAAGAAATTCCACAATTCCCAATAAATGCCTGTAATAAATTTGGCGCTCCTGTTTTTTTTTGGGAGGGTTGAGTTTTTTCGTAATTAAGTATAATTTTTTTCTATTAAAAGTAGCCGACTTATAAAAATTATATCACCTGAATGTTTGGTTGGTAAACTTTTAAAAATTATTAAACGAGTTTAATAGATTTTTTATTTAATAATTTAAATTTATACACAACTTACTTAAAATTTTGTATTTATTGACCTTATTGTTAGGATAATAGTTGAAAGTTTTACATTGTTGAACACAATCCATTTATTTTTAGAATAAATTTAACTTATAACCTGCATAAAAATACCAATAATAAGCACAAACACACTTATAATTTTTATTAAAAATCCCTTTTGCCAAAATTTTGATTTTATTTATTAGACACATTTTTTATCGATTTTATAGGACTACCTATAAAACAACAAATATTACTTTTTTACGATTAAACTTTATATGTTCCCACATTTTTTGAATTAATTCAACACCACGGGTATTTTTGATTTAGTTTTTTTAAGAACCTACCTACCTACCTTGCATATTTAAAAGCGATAAATTAAAATGTTGCAATTCCCAGTGATTGAAATCCATAATGTTTATTGAAATGTTTACATTTGGTTTTCTTATTTTATAAGCTCTTAATGGATTATAATAAACTCAGTTATCAATATGATTATTATTAAATATCAAGTTTGACGTGTTAGACAGACAGACGTCGAGTGACGTCTTTTAAACGTCGATTATTGGTCAATGACCAAGACGTCTGTCTGTTTGCTATAATCTTGTGCGTAAAAATTCTTAAAAACTACCCGGACAACATTCGTGATATTCATACGAACCTCACGTTGTGATTTTCACAAATTTTATTCCTACGGACATCATCCGGATGTCACTGCGTGGGAAATGAAAATCATGTCGTGATTTTTTATGCCATCGCTGTTTGCGATTGTACACTAAGAGAAAAAATATGTTGAATCAACAGTTTTTGCGGTTAAATCCATTTAATATTTTCTTGGATTTAAATTAACTATATACCTATAGTTAATTTAAATCCACGAAAATATCTTATGTTGATTCAATTGTTTCTTTCAATGTACGAATCTGTCGCAAAAATGAATATCCAAACACCGATGGCATAAAAAATCATGTCGTGATATTTATTTTGTCCGGGTACAAAACATTTTAATTTTTTTATTATTTTCCTCGACTAAATGCAAAGGCAATTTTAGTTTTTCTGGGAAACAATTATTTATTATTTTGAACAAAGACATTTTTTAATAATAATAACATAATATGTTATATTATATATTATATATTAAATTTATATATTTTTAAACAAATTATAATAATTGTTATTATATTATAATAATTGTTATTATATTATAATAATTGTTATTATATTATAATAATTGTTATTACCTATATTATCTCCATTTGAACTTCAAATTTTGAAGAGTTTAATAAATAAATAACAGTGGGCAGTGACAGCAAATTCAGCGGTGCCAATGTAGTAAAAATAAAACGTATTGATTAATTAACAAATGAATACTATAAATTAAAGTATCGTTTAAAAATGTTATTTTCCACAGAATTTTTCAAAAATTATTGCTTAAAAATTTATTATTTGCTGTATTGTTTATGCAAATCTCATGAGCGTGCCCGTAAAATATGGAATATATATATATATATATATATACACCATATGGTGCCTCACAATATCATAAATTAAATTTTGACATTCTATGAAAACTTTTTACTTAAGTGGGGTTTAGATTTTAAATTAACATTAATATTTATTAAAGTTTTATTTATATTTATAGATTTTATATTTACTTCTTCGTTTTATAAACATATGTACATTTCACAATTTGCGTCTAAGAGCATGAAACCGATAGGCAATTTTATAAAACAAAATTTTACTATACATAAGTAGCCAACTGTCCTGGTTTATTCCATTTTTGAGAGTACCTTTAGGATAGTAAAAAGTAAGAAAGAATCATGAGTTTTTCCCACTTTTTTAGTATTTGTTCTAATTTTTTTTATTAAAAGTGGTTGGGGCTCAGGTTAAAAAATCTAAATTTTTGAGAGTACCTTCAGGATAGTAAAAAAGTAAGAAAAAACCTCGTTTGAAATTTTTTTGTTTTAATTATGAGTTTTTCTCACTTTTTTAGGATTTGTTCTAATTTTTTTATTAAAAGTGGTCGGGGCTCAGGTTAAAAATTAATTTAAAAATCTGAATTTTTGGGAGTACCTTTATTATTGATGTTATTAGCACATCTTTTTTTCAAATAATAAATATTAAATGAATAAAATAAATTTTATTTTTTGGGAGGAAGAGGAGGGGCATGTTGTGTCCTGGTTTTTCATTTTAGAAAGTTGGTCACCTTAACTATACATTACACATTAACGTAATTTTTCTTTTCTTTGGAAAAACATTTACTTAAATTCTTGAAAAAAATAGTAAGTACTAACTTTACAGAGTTTATAATTTCCAAAAAATTTTTTTGCAGTTTTTTTGATCCAGCATATCTTCTTTTATTGACCAATCCCAGTACTGCAGTATCAATGAACAAAACGAAAATCGATTTTTAAGAATTAATTTGAACAGACAGAAAACGATACACTGTTCAAAATTTTAGCTAATTTTTACCTAAAATATTAGACTATATAGGACCATTGATTTTTTAAGGCAAACTGTTTGAAATGAATTTAGAGGAATATTCCCCTTTTAAATAAGTCAATTCTTTAACTGATATTTTTAAAGAAAATAATACAATTAATTAAGCAACATTACTTAGGTTTCAAAGATGATACACCTTAGATTGTAAGGGATATTGCCTGAGAATAAAAGAATAAATTTCCTGTTTCTAAGGCAATTTCCTTAAATTTTTGGGTAGATTTTAGGTAAGTTTTCAGGCAAATTATATATATTTTTAGTGAAAATCCTAGCATAGGAATTTTCTTCCAAGTTAGGACTCCTTCATCTTTATGTCCTAGGCGAATTAACAACGGCATTACATGTAGTACCGGAACACTTTTAATAATCCCAACCCTGCAGGGTTGGGATTATAATATATTTAAAAATAAATTGGGGTCAATGGGAAATTCCATTTACTTTGGATTACTTAACTATAGCACTACAGCACTATTGTATACAAAATGTTCACTTATAGCACAATAATTGTTAACTATGTTGTTATATCAATAGCACACAACGCGGTCTTTAAGCTTTCGTTGATTTTGGCATTCTGGTGGACAATATAGGCGCGAATATTTATCGTAAAACGTCGGTATTAGCGATCGTAGCCGATTGCAAGTAAGTCACTAATATTTAAAGGAATTTACCTAAATTAGTTCAATAATTTTCCATAATAATTTAGAAGAATTACCTAAATTAAAAGCAAAATTGTCGTACCTAAAAGTAATTGAGATTTTGACTAAATATTTAGGTAATCTGCCTATCTTTTTAAATTTGACAAGTTAATTAAGTAAAGTATGAATATTTATCTAGAAGTTAGTGAATACACCATAAAACTAAGGCATTCGTTTCTGCCTAATAAACGAGAAGGTAAATTGCTTTACTCATTTAAGCATATTACCTTATTTTTCCTTAATTAATTCTGATTAGGTATTTCAAAAGGCTTGATTTTGAACAGTGTACAAGCATTTAAATATTTGCATATGCGTCATCTATTATCGAATGTGAACATATTATATTTTAGTTAAATTACGAAAACAGGAATTTCAGATAGTCAACTTTTATAATGGCAAAAAAAATTGTGTCAATTATTATCAAATGTTTTTTTTTAAATTTATTTTCAATAGATTGGCGATAATGCTTAAATAGTATTTTATACAACAATTGTTGTGTTTAAACACATAAATAATTTTAAAAAAATAAATAAAAAAAATCCTACGGTTCTAAGCTAACCTAAAAAACATTGTTGGTTTGTTCTGTGATTGTATGACAGTACAATGTTCATAATAGGTGTTTTCGCGGTGCTAATCCAGAACTAGTTCGGACATCCTAGGCATGCGCATTTTAATATTTGTCATGCGCACTTTACATTTTGAACCCCAAATTTTAAGAAGCGCATGTCTAGGATGTCCGGAATTAGTTCAGGATTAGCTCCGCGAAATAGATAATAACTTTTCAAATATTGGCGTTGAGAAACTATTAAATACTTTTATATTTTGTATTGAGATAGATATTTTTTACATTTAGTATTATTTTACAAGAAGGGACCTTTATTTAACAATTGTATGACATTTGACAACTCTCAACTAACTTAAAACTAAGTTCAGCCCGTGACTAAAGCGCTATAAACCCACAACTTGACAATGTGTATTTAAAAGATCACTTAGTATCATGTAAACTTGTACGATAATGGGCGTTTTAAAGGTGGAAGTAAAAAAGTATTATGTATGCATTTTTATATAAATGTTTGGGTAAAATTGAATAAAAAAAAATACACATGATGCAGTAAAAAAGTATTTATTAAATTGACTAGACATGACATAATTTTTAGTCCATCCACTGTGCTACATTTTGTACAAACAAAACAATTGAATAAAATAATTTTTTTATCACAAAACACAAAAAATCTTATCACTCGTTACATTGTGGGTCGTTTTTCGTGTAATTATACTATTTAGTAAGTACCCAGTCTTATGCACAGTTATGAACTTTACAATAATAATTAATAATGCATAATATACTTATTCTAGCCAATAAGTTATAAAGTAAAAAAAATATGTCGGGATTCAATGTATTTACAAATTTTTTAAAATATGATTTCAAAATGACGTGAAAATTACTTGAAAATTCTTTGGCACATTTTGATTTTTGGAACAATTCAATGCTTGCGTGTAAAATCAGACCATATAAAAACGAAAAAATTCGTTTATATGAAACCTTATCTTGCTTAAATCAATGCAGAACGAAGTTTTCTTACTTTTAAATAATAAGAACCATATTCATTTCAGAAACTAAGATTTAAAAGTTTCACTCACTTTTGCTTTTTTATTTTTAATTAAACAAACATAAAAAAAATACAAAATATAAAAAAGCAAAATATTTCCATTTTAATTTAAACAAAATTTAACTTACATAGTGTAAAATTGAGCATGCTTACTTAGAATGAAAATTTTGATATCAATTAACGGACCTATGCCAATTTGATAAGTTTATTGTCCGATGACTATAAATAACCTATAGTATTATTAAGCCATACTTAATTAATTTTCTATAAATAAAAAATTTGTACATCTGATTATAAGTAAATGTGTTCGATATGTCTTACATTAATATTTCAAAGAAAAAAAAACATTAGGTAGGGATTCTTATGAGCAAAAGTATTGCATTTTCGAGAAACAGTATTCTACAAACTATTTTAAAAGATTTATAACAAAAAATTACAAATTTGGACACAAATTTTGTTTCAAATTAAGTCAAGTGCAATTTTTAATTACGAATCTTTTTTTTTTATAAAACAATGAAAAAAGCTTAAATAGTTAATACTTTTGCTTATAGACGCATACGTGAAAACAAATAGGCAATATTATGCGTTTTGTCGTAAATCATAGTATAAATCAATAAAGTCAGTTTTAATTGCCTATTTTTTCCACACTTCACGTATAAATATTATAATTAACTATAAATCACAAAATTCTAACAATATACTCTTAAAAACTAAACAAAAACGTCGAGGAAAAAAAAAGGTTTTATAATTGATGTGTAGCACCTTATAAAACTTGTAAATCGTTATACAGCCAATATAAATCCAGATTTGGTCTGCTTTTTTTCTACTCTACATACTTAAAAAAATAAGCTTACCAACTAAAATTTAGACAACTGTCGAGATAGATGTGGCGTGTAACGGAGACCTAGGCGAATGAAATCGTAACAGTTCTGTTACAGTAACGGCAACTTGCACCAAACCTTTGCCTTCCAAAACGTCGGCCGCACAGCATATAAGGTTCTAAAAAAAGTAGGAAACGTTAATTTTTGTAGTGTATTACATTGTTAGTTTGGGTTATTTAAACAACAATTTTTTTAAACTCTTTTATTATTAATTAAGCGGAATAAATACCAATACAAATAGTACTTAACTTTGATAGAAAATAAATTACAATAAATCTAGAAAAAAGGTACTAATACTTATAAAACTAAAGTAAACAATAATAAATTTGTAACAGTTATATAACAGTTTTATTCACTGGTTTGAAAAAGAATTGGAATTATTTGGAACAGTCTTTGATTTTACTTAATACTGGATTTATACAGAGCGATTCTATAACAATTTTATTAAAATCACCCTGTATCTTGACTAGATTTCTAATAATATAGATCAAAAAGCTGCAAAAGCACAAGCATAAAAATGTGATGAATAAAAATAAGTCAGTCGTTTTTATGATAATTCTTATGATAACATTTAACTTATTTTTATTTTCAGTTCCGTATTTTATTTCCAATATAAGCGTAGTGGATATTTTAATAGCAATTTTACAAAAATATTAGCTACCCTTTATAAGTACCTGTAGAAATATTTTTAGTTATATCACCCTTAATCCTAATTATCACTTTTTATAAGTAAATAGCAGCTTTATATTCTTTTAATAAGGCCGAATGAAGAAAGGTTTAGGGTTTAGATTTTGTGGGGCCAACATCTTGACATTGAATTTTTTTTAAGTTAATATTTAACACTTTAAACATAAAACTGAAAATCTAATAAAATTAAAAGTAAAATTCAAACAATACTTCGCGATTTTGGCCCAGAAAATTTAAACCACCCTTTCTGCATATGGCCACAAACAATGTATGCAGCAAAAATCCTGCATTTACAGGAAAAAAATCTAATTAAATAGCAAATCTAATGGAATGTTAATAATAGTAATAATTTCGTTTGATATGAAACTTAAGCCAAAAAGCACATAATAAGGCTGTATTACGCTCAACGTAATGTTCAAACAATTTTAAGTATATGTACTAATTAAAGAGGCACTGATAATTTAAGTAAATAATCACAATTCTTCGAATCTACAAAATATAATTTTGCTGAAAAAATCTTAGTTCAGCAAAATAAGGATGTTATCAAGAAAAAAAAATCTACTTTGTTGGTTATGTTTTTTATGAAGATATTTATTAAACCAGGACGTCAAAATATGAAAAACATTAAAAATGTTTTTCATATTACAAAAAAATTAAGCTAATTTTACTGAACATCCTAATTTTACTGAAACACTATAACAAACCATAAATTATTTTATGTATTATTATTTTAGACACCCTGTATACTGCAGCCTCACTCGCCACTAATTTACAATCCATTTTTTATTTGGACTTTTACATATTTGATGGCAATGCTTGTTTTTTGGTTGGTAGCAATGCTTGTTTTTTGTAGTATGTATAATGTCAGTAATTGGTATTCCTGTTTCACATATATTATTATATACACTGAGCATAATAAGTAAAAAAAAATTCACTCTAAAACTCCTTTAACAATCTTTATTAAATTATGTATATCTCAGTTTACATGTTCGAGGGTTTTTCGAGAAAATATTTGTAAAGCCCTTTTATGTAAAAATAAAAAAAACGTTCAAAAAATACCTTTAAGGGATCTTTTCTTTAAGTAAATAAAAAATAGGCTGTTAAAGACCGTATTTTTATAAGTATATCCTAAAAATTTTGTACAAATTAAACGAACAGTTACGAAGATACAGCGCTTCAAAGTCGGTAAAAATTATCCCTTTTTGATTATTTTGCTGAAAAGTAGTCATTTTTGACGACTTTGAAGCGCTGTATTATCGTTACTGTTCGTTTGATTTGTACAACATTTTCAGGGTATACTAACAAAAATACGGTATTTCACAGCATATTTTTTATTTACTTAAAAAAATTTCCCCATAGCGTTTTTTATTATTAAGGATATTTTCTCGAAAAACCTTTGAACAAGTAAACTAAGATATAAGTTAAATTATTTTTATCCAAAATTTTATAGATTGTTAAAGGCGTTTTAGAATTGGATTTTTTTTACTTCTTATGCGTTAATTTTGACGCGCTGTGCATTATATACTATACAGTCCTTGGTCAATTGATGAGACTCACTAACGAATTTTCTTCAATTTTGGGAATTTGTAAAATAGTGAATATCTTCTCACAAAAATGCATTTTCAAACCAAAAAAGTGATTTTATGGATAGAATCGTGTTATTAAAACAAAAAATGTACTTTTACGTTAAAATTAAAAAAAATTACCTTTGGTAATTTTTTTTGCCATCAGTATTTTAATTTCAATTTCATTGTTAAAATATGTTTGATCGTTTTAAAAAGCGTTTTTAACGAAATTCTTCGATTAAATTACTTTTGTAGTTCGAAAATGCAACTTTAAAATTAAAGAAACAGTCAATATCTTCTCACAAAAATGCATTTTTGAACCACAAAAGTAATTTTATGGATAGAATGGATAGAAACCAAAAAACGCATTTTTACGATAAAATTTAAAAAAAATTACTTTCGGTTATTTTTTTAACATCAGTTTTTTAATTTCAATTTCACTGTTAAAATATGTTGAATCATTCTAAAAAGCGTTTTAACGCAATTCTATCGATTAAATTACTTTTGTAGTTCAAAAATGCAACTTTGTAAGAAGATATCAATTATTTTCCCAAAATTAAAGAAATAATGTAAGAAACTGACATTAAAAAAGTGAAATAAAAATTAGATTTATTTAATTTTCTGAATACCTACAATGAAAGGATTTGTCTTGTTTTTCGTGACATTTGTATATTTTTGGAAATGATTAATCAAATCTTAATTTTATTTTAGAAACAACGTGGTGACGTTAATTACTACTGTAACTAGCATGCAAGTCCAAATAAAAAATCTTTATGGTTTGTTATGACATTTGCGAGGTTGCCACGCGTGCGCCGCTAGTCGGGCGGCGGAAACGCGACGAGCAGCGCCACGGTGGCGAAAAACATGGCCAACAACAGTAGTGAGACTGTGGTGTCTTGCAGGGTGGGAGGCGTCTCGACGACCGTCTTCCGTTTGGCCTCGGGCGACTTGGATGCTTCCTCGAAGAGGCACAGGGTTTCGAGCGTGCGCAGTAGGCGGGGCAGGCCGCGCCCATCAAGCGCCTCCGTCACGTCCAACGTGGTGCACAGTCGCCCCTGTAATCAACCACAGTCTCACTGTTTTCACTGTTTTTTTTTTTGTTTATTTATGTTTGAGCTTTTGTGTTTTTGGGTTTGAGTACAGGGACCGGCCGTTTGCCAGCGAGAATGACGAGGAGTCCTACTCACTAGGTAATATATTTTTATTAGTGATGAGCAAAATTTCGATAACGGAGTTAAGAACGGTGATTGGCGAAATTCTTTTAAGAATAAGCAAATTCGCGCTATCTAAGTTTATTCATCAAACAAATAATATCGTTTTCACCGATTATATAAATTGTTTACCATTTAGCAGTATAATGCTGCCTAATGGAGTAAAATCGCAAGTTTTAGAAGGCCTAAAAGACCTCTAATAAATTATGAGTTGAAAAGTTCCCTATTGCCACATAATATGGCAACAAACATTGTTGAATTTTGCCTTCAATATTCGTACCAAATTTTAACCCTTTATGTCACCCAAAAAGTAATATTTTATAAACCACATTAAGTTACTTGTTTCAGTTGTCTTTTTGGTGTCGTATTTATACTCCGAAATTTTGGCCTTCCAGGATGTTATGATTCATGTTCGAGAAAACAATCAAAACTGTATGAACGTTCGGTATTCAGAATTGGATATGTGATTTTTGTTTTTTATATTATTGATTTTCCTAATATATACGTTTAATTATGGCCGTCCTCTAAATGTTATCATTTAGATGTCATAGAATAAAAATAACTTATGGAGACAATATTAAATATTTTAAAAAATCTAGAGAATTCTTTAAATTTTAATATTTAAAATTAAGGTAGTATCTTCATTTAAAGAGTTTCCATAGAATGTCTTCAAAATTTAAAATATGATTTTGTGAGACATCAGACACATTCAGATATTTTTTTTCTTTCAGCAGAATTCAAGAACAACATTTCAGAAAGATTTCTGTACGAAGTCTGTTGAAAAACATCTTACCGAGGTCACAATATGACTTCTTAGAGAAATCATTTTTACGAGCCCAAGATTAAGAGTTCTTGATGAATTCATAAATGAGAAGTCAATTTAACATCTTAAAGTATCTTTTTTTCTGACCTCTTATTCGAATCAAAATTAGAAGCTACTAAGCGTATCATAAATAAGACTTCAGTTATATATCTTACAGTATTCTCTTTTCTTACTTCTTACTGAAATAATATTATTAATTCTTTAAGACGTCAACATGGAGATGTCACATTTATGACATTTTAATGCGATTACTTTCTTCTCACCGCTGTAACTGCTTGTGTTTGATATAAGAAGCGGCGAAGTAGAATTCGGTCATCTATGGAGCGTGCCATACCAAACGGTTTTAGACCTATAGGTAAACGGCTACCCGATACTGACGAGCTCCAAAAGAGCGAAACAGGCCGTCTATCGGTGCCGGTGAAGAGCTTGAATTTAAACAAAAGTGAGACGAAATAATCGCAATTCCAAAAATAAGCGAATACGAGCAAGTTAAAAAATGATTTTAATAAAATCAACTTAACAAATTCGTTTGTTCTATGGTAATTAAACTTGACATGTCAAAATAAGCAACGATTCAGTATGTAATTTTTTTATCAGTACCTACCCTAGTAGTACTTTTATATCCAAAACGGCAAATTCTAAAGAAGTCTTTTTATAAGTTTATACAGTAGGACTCTTTAAAATGCTTTATTGCGAAGTCAAAGAAAAGGGTTCCTCAAGAGTTCTTTTTTGAGAAGTCTTGATTAGTTCAATAGGTGGCGCATTCGAAGTCTTAAGAGCTTCTTAAAAACTTCTTTCTAATGTTGTATAAGACGTCATATTGCTGTCTGGGTGCCGGCGTTAAAATCTCAAATTTTTCTTTGTTATTCAAAATTTATCCCTTGAAAACAATCGATATAGAAGCAGTTTTTCAGAGTAAAAGAGAAGAGAATACTTTATGGGCACAGTATGCATCTAGTTAATCTAGTTAACTGCACTACTACGGCGAAATTAAAAGGTCAGTACAAACGTTCATATAATCTTTTCAAATATTGGAGTTAAGAAACTATTTAATACTTTTGTATTTTTGTATTGAGATAATAAAGTAATTTCCAAATTTAGTATTATTTTTCAAGAAAGGCACTTTATTTTAACGATTGTGTCATTTGACAACTGTCAAATAACTAAAAACTAACTTTAGCACTTGAATAAAAACCTGTTGCTAACTTGAGCTCCATAAAGCCACAACTTGTCAATGTGTATTTAAAAGGTTATATTCAGGAGCTTCAACTCTCATATGAGAATATATAGGAAACGCGACGCTTGGCAGCGTGATAAAGGAGGGGAAGCTAGTGTACAATGCGCAGAAATGATTATTAATCAACCGCGCTTAGATTAGTTTTATTTAATTTCAAATTTTTATTTGAGAAAATCACTATTGGATGTTTGTGCTGTGTTGAAAATTGTTTTAATTTGCAAGGAAAGAAAAACCTGCACATCAGTTATTTGAAATACCATCAGTAAGTTTACAATGAAACATTACAGTAATGATCACGCCAAAGAACTTGCAAACTGATTTTACATTGCAAAAGTCATTTTATACGTGAAATTTAAATGCATGACCAAATTAACATCATTACAGTTTAGGTTTTCTGCTTCATAAATTTACTCACTTTTCTGTTCTGTTTACTACAATGATTTTATTATAGTATAAAATATTATAATATAATTATATTATGATCTTCTAGAAGCTTATTTACGACTTTGGTAAAGGTAAACATTGGTTTAACCACATGGCCCAGGTAGCACACTGACATCTGCTGACGTTTAAATGACCTTGAAATGACGTCATTTAAACGTCAGCAGACGTCAGTATGCTACCTGGGGGGTTTAACACGTTTGAGGCTTGACAGATGCACAAAATAATGGCTATGTTCCGTAATTTACTGTCAGTACTGTCATTACTGAAAACGCATTCCGAAATCCACTTTCAGTTACTGAGCTCAGTGGTAAATACTACCCTTTTATAAATGTACGGCAGATTAATTTTACTGAAACAACTGGGGACAGAGAGGTGCTGTGGCTCCAGTAAAACACATAACCAAACTTTTAAACAAAAAATAGCTGTCAAATAAAGTGAAGGATATAAATTATATCATATAATGGTATTTGGTGAATACCTATAGGACTAATTATTTAAATATTTATTGATAAAATTTACTTGAAAGTACAAGCAGCAGTGACGAAGGCAGGTCGGCGGGGAGTAGGTACGCATACGAAGACCCAGAATATGAAACTACCTACTATAGTACTACCTATAGGTAGTACCTAGAAAATGTTATATATTTGTATTCAGCGGACGAATTTAAGATTAATTTTTGGTATTTGGCTTATTGTTGTGGTGTCAGTGAAATTTTATATTTCCTATTCCTATATACATTTTTCGACTCGGACGACGATAACATTAAATTTTCCATATTTCTCTGCCATAAACCAAACATTATATTTCTTATAACTGTTATATTTATTTTTTATTTATGTTCTCTGCTGTGCCGAAAGTAAAGTTTGTCAATTGTCAGTAAATCACAAATCATAACCTTGCGTAACCATTGTCACTTTCTGCTGCTACTGAGGCGCGTTCCAATTTCACTGTGCGTCAGTACTGAATAAATTACGGAACGGTCCTTTTCCGCTACTGACAGTAAACTTACTGACAGTAATGGCAGTAAATTACGGAACCCAGCCAATGTTCTGTGTAATGTAGGTTAAAAACATACCTTCTTTATCTTTGCAAAGGATAGGAGGGGAGATGCGCAGAACTCTATTTTGCGTTAACGGTCATCATACACGTGCGACGTTTATATGGACCCCCCACTTCTCGAATTTATATGAAGTTGAAGCTCCTGAATATAATCTTCTTAGGTCATGGACACATGTACGACCGGGCGTTTTAAAGGTGGGAGTAGAAAAAATAATTTTTAAAGTTTTCATACGCCATTTTTTTGCATCTTAGCTCGCTCATGAAATTTTAATAAAAAAATAAACCAAATAATAATAATTTTTAAGCCATTAACATGATCCTATTTTGTTTCTCGAGTTTGGAAACCAATTTTTAAAATGATCTATGTTATTTTTCCATAGATTCTTTTAAAAGTTCGTTTTAAAACTCGAGCAACCAAAAATTGTTATTACAGTATCAATGTTATGGAAATCTCAAAAACCAATTTTTTTTAGCACTTTTAAGTTTATCATTTTACATTCCGTGCTGCCAACTTTAGAAACACAACAAAGACAGTTTTAAACCTTAATTTTGCCATTATAACAACAAATTAACAAATTATCTTGTTAGTTTTTAATGATACTTTAATTTGTAATAAAGTAAAAATTTGTTAATTAAAATGCAACGTTTTAATTTTCACTACATTGGCATCGCTGAATTTGCTGTCACCGCCTACAGTTATTTATTTATTTATCAGACTCGTGGAGCCTACACAAGGAGTCCGAACTGTATGTAAACAAGAATCTTCCCAAGGAAAGTAGGCGCTGGTGTACCGTTTATTTTGAAACAATTGACTAATTTGTACCGAAACGCTACCAAAAGAGCAGACGTCAGGACGCATCAACAATCAGCGCCGCTGGCGGTGAAAAAAAAAGACTTAATTTGTGCAATTTAGAGGGCAGGTTTTGTCAATTTTCCCTATTAAGTTCGGGCTCCTTGTGTAGGCTCCATGATCAGACTCTTCAAATGGAAATACTACCTTAATGTATACCTTTAAAATATAACCCTATTTTAAGTTACCTATTTGTAGAACTCCTTTTCACCCTGGGCAAAACAATATAACAAAAACATTTTAAAACTTGGTTTCAAAATATTTTTTGCTGAACAATTTTAACAATTAAATCATTCAAAAATGTAAAGAAAAAGAACTAAATAAACTAAAGATATGATTATTTACAATAAAGGAAAAATTATCAGTGACTTCATGAATCAATCGCCTTTTGATAAAATTTAAGGGTTTGTTACTGTAGCAAATAGCACCAATTTAATATATCCTAACACATAAAAGCGTTACAACGTTACAGGGTAATGTTAGTAAATGCCACAAGGATTTCCTTGTTAGTAATGAAACTACATGAGAACAAAAAAAACTCACCTCGTCAACGCCGATTTTTCGACAGGCCTCGATAAAATTGTCAACGTTTCTTCTGCAGCGGGCCATTGTCAATTTAGGCTGGAAAAATAGTCACTTTAATATGATTTTTGATCCAATTTTTTTAAATAAAAAAACTGCATAAGTATTTCTGTTATCCACGGTGTATTTGTATATTAAATAGTACTTACAACAGCAGGAGAAGGAACATGTATGCTAGCCACTGATCTAGGCTTTATATGATTGGCCAGGTGACATAGAACAACGCCATCTGTTAATGTGGGAGCCAAGTCTTGTGGAAGCACCATTTTTAATCTAGTTTCTATAATCTGAAAGAACAACATATAATATTACATAGTGGAGAATATAGACAAGAGTTTAATGATTGTTTTGTTACACTGCGCGTCAAAATTAACGCATAAAAAGTTAAAAAAATCCAACTATAAAACGCCTTTACAAATCTTTATAAAATTTTGGATAAAAACACTTTAACTTATATCTTAGTTTAAAATAGACTAACAATCGATATAGAAGCAGTTTTTCACAGTAAAAGAGAATAAATGTTTTAATATATATAAAATTTAACTGAACTTATATGGCGAAATCAAAAAAGTTTAAATTGGTTAACGACTCTTGTAATGTCAAATTTTTGTTCCGCACAAACAATTTTTCCCATGTTATTCTTATGGAAAAACGAAAAGTGCGATTAGTCCAGGAAACAAAGATTGTAGAAGGAAAACTCGATGGTAGTCGCGTTTTATTTTTTTTATGTAGAGTCAGGGGTGCTGATAATGAATCAAGAATATTCCCCAAAAATTTCTTTCCGCGTCCCCTAATTTCATCCCCCGAAAGGGAAGTTTTTTTGCTTTTTGGCTCATAACTCACTAACGGTGAATTTTTTCAGAATTTGACCCCTTGTACATTGAAAAGCAGTAACTTTTGAAAAAAGTCTAGCACCTCAAAAAATGTTTGATTACCGTAAGGTTTGCGATCGATTACTTTTAAAATTCGGCTATAATAAAAAAAAACAAAAAATTGGTTTTGAAAGCAACGCTCAACTTTGCACACTGATCATAGCAAAAGGGCACATCATATAGGTGCGCAATGGGGTTTAACATGTGCCTGATTTAGTACATAATCAAAAGTATTATAGGTCAAATTCTGCAAAAAATTCACGGTTAGCGAGTTATGAGCCAAAAAGCAAAAAAACTCTCCTTTCGGGGGATGAAATTTGGGGAATATTCTTGATTTATTATCAGCACCCCTGACTACATAAAAAAATAAAACCCGACTACCATCGAGTTTTCCTTCTACAACCTTTGTTTCCTGGATTAGATGCGGAGCATTAAGATATTAAAATTAATAGCTCATATTTTCACAAGCTCATTTTTATACCTTAAGGAAACTTTTAAGCCTGTTTGCAAGACAAAAAACAATTTGCTTTTTTTTAAACACCCTACCACTTAGTAAAACTTGATGTATTTCTTAATTATTATTGTTTTAAATAATAGTAAAAATTGAAATAGAAAAAACGGAAATGAAAGCATAGAAAAGAAAAGTGTAGGATCTACTTACATGTCTTAACTGATTAATAAGGTCAGTTTCCTCGCGAGCCTTGTCAATCTCCCTCCGCATCGTGAACGTCATCTTTTCGTTGGGCACATCGTGATTCCAGGTGATGTTCCTGTTGGCCTTGACCCCATTGACCCCCTTCGCGGCCCCGTTGACGAACGCGCCCGGGCTCCTGGGACCGACAACATTCTTTCCGTTAGTCAAGTTGGCGTTGCTCGGCGGCGGCACGTGGTCGTGCGACAGGATGCCGCCGGCGGTTTTCAGCGGCGACATGGGCTTCACGTAGTCGGGAATGACGCGCGCGCCGTTGCCGTTGTGATGGTGGGGCGAGGCGAACGCGGTGTTGCGCGACGGCTGCACCTTCTGCACCGGCTTCTTCGCGTTCGTGTCGTCGAACACGTGCTTCGGGCTGCCGAAGGCCGAGTTCAGGGGCGTCGGGTCGGACTTCGAGGTGGCCAGGGTGCGCGCAGGAGAGGCGTGGCGCGTCGGCGTGTTCGGTTCGGTTTTCGTGAACGGCTCGTCGGCGTCTTTCGTTCGATAGATCGGCACGTCGTGCGCGCGTTGCTGCTTCAACGCTTCCTTGTACTCCCTGCAACGACAACGAGGCGTAAACTGGGAGAATTTATTCGCTAATTTAAGAAGCCTGTTTTGCATTTTTTTTAATCATAACATAAATAAATAAATAAATAAAGTTTTTATTGCATATTCAGTACAATACAGAACATATAATACAAAATATACAAAAGGCCATCGACCGGGGTCCCTCAGCCTGTTACAAACTACTTTAAATGATACAAAAAAAACCTAATTATTATTAGACAATTGTAAGATTATTTCCAATATTGTTTTTTCCGGGAATTTTGTGGCATTTTCATCGACTTCTCTCATAACATAATTTTTTAAATAATTTCAATTTCTGATTCCAAACCAGACATTCCACGTACTCGGCAATTTTTGTAGCGTCCGTAATAATAAAAAATTGTGAGTAAAAGCTGCCGTAATTAAATTAAATACCATTGCAATAGTTACTATTGCATGCAAACATGTTTATTATGCTTGTAATAATTAGGCTTAAGCTTATAAGCAAAACATAAAATTTTAACAGATTTTGAAAATAGAGGTTAAAAAACGTACCCGTCTCACCGTCTTACGAAATCACGTCATTTAAATTTTGTATACGGTCATTCTTATTATTTTAACATATAAAGATATTTAATTCTCTATTTTGTAATAATTAATTTTTTTCTTCAAAAATTGTATGTTTTTACATAATACAAAAATTAAATAAAAAAAAATAATAATTTTAATTTTTTTTTAATAAAACAACAGATTTGTATTTATCTTACATACAATATATGTTGGAAAAAAATCTTGGTCTTTTAGTTTGACGATTATACTTTGCTTTAGAATCTACAGTGGTATCACAAACCTATAAGCACCACCCTATATAAAATTTAAATAATTTTAAAATGTAGCTTTAATGGTTGTCCATTTATTCAATAAATATTTTTTTTTAAACTATACAGTCTAGCTGTTATAGAAGCTGTTATATTATGTTCTGAATACCGTGGATCGCACCCTAAAAAAATGACGTGATCTGAAAAAAAGCCAAGACACGGGGGTATCATTTTTTTAAGTCCATTTTCCAAATCTGTAGGAAAAAAATCAAATCTTGTCGTACTGTGTAATAATTACGGTAGGTTTTACTCACAATTTTTGATTTTTAGGGACGCTACAAAAAATCCCGAGTAACGTGAAATTCAGTAAAAAAAAGAACCAAGTAGGTACATTTGTTATTTTCCGTCTTGCAGTTCTGGACAGCATTTTGATAGTTTTCGGATATTATACAGGGTGAATAATATTCTTTTAAGGATTTTTCAGAAATTAGGAAAAATCGGATATTTTTTTAAATAAAAAACTACACTTTTGGAAACGAAGCGTTTTTTCTTATTTGTATGCATTTCTTTAAATCTTATTCTTATTTTTTTTTGCAATATTAATAATAATTTTTTTAATTTTGTAATAATTTTGTATGGAACGCTGTTGTATTTTTTAATCAGAAATTTCTACTATTTCAGATATCTGAAATTAATTTAAGATATTTAAATTATAAGGTATTAAAAAGTACATCCGTTAACGCCAAAATATTTTTAAATCATGAACTTTGGTTTTAACTCCAAGTACTAGCCATTCTTTTAATTATTTTAAACAATCTTTATAATTTAACTTATTTTATCTAGGTACTCCTACATTGACGAGCTGTGACTTTGTGACGTTTTAGTCACGGGCTGAAGTTAGCAATAGTGGCTTTTGGACATTTTAGTCACGGGCTGAAGTAATCTTTATTATAAATTAGGGAAAAGTGAGGTTAAATCCGTTTAAAGTTGACAGATGTCAAAAAAATTGGCATTAAATTCTTCTTTGTGTTTGTCGTAGATAAAGTATAGTATGCAACTCGTTTTATAAACTTCTCTAGACACGCGTTTTTATTAATCACTCGCTCGCCAGCTTCGCTCGTACCTAAAAAAACGTATATAGAACTTAATGCATAACATACTATTAAATTAAAAAATTAAGTGGAATTAAAAATATCAAAGTGAAACTAAGATTTTTAATTCAAACTGATATATATATAATTCGCATGAATTATAAATAACAACTTGAAATGTTGTAGAATTAAAAATATGAAAGAAACTAAGAATTATTTGATATTTTTAAATAAATTTGCGGCACTGTTTGTTAATACCGTTTTTATTAATAATAGGCACAATAATTATAATTATAATAATTATTATTAATTAAACTTACTAACTATTTTGAATATTTACACGGATAAAAAGGCATAAAACGCAAAACGTCATTATTTCAAACTTTGTTAAATAAGATTCAGTTTAACTACTTCCCAAGAGCAGCTGGCCCACTTAGCGATTTAACAGAATATCTGTGTAGATATTAAATATAGGATTTTAATTAATAAAAATTGTTATGCCTATAATTAATTAAAACAAATAGTGCCTCAAAATAATTGAACTGAGATTAAGGCAATTATACGGTATATTTGTTATTTTTAAATCAAAGTGTTATTTTTAATTCCCGCAGTTATAATATATATATAATATATAATATACCTATAGGTAGATAAATTGAACCGTTAATATCGCCAGGGGTGTCCAAACTGCGGGAATTAAAATTATCACTTTGATTTAAAAATAAGAAATCATTCTTAGTTTTACCTTGATATTTTTAATTTGATATCATTTTAAGTTGAAAATAAGTGAAATTAAACATTCAAGTTGATATATATAATTCATGATATATATAATATACTTAAATTTTGTACTTTAGAGGTGGGAAGTTCGATTCTTTTTGGTGAATCAATTCTTTTAATTCATTCTTTTAAAATAATTCGTTCATAAAGATTCGTTCGCGACTGATTCACTTTCTGGTTCAGGAACAGATAATTAACGAACAATTCAGGTTCGACCGAATTAATGACTTGGTTCTCGAATTGTTTGTAAAAATGACTTGTATTGGTTTTATCGTTAAATGAATCAACGGTTTTATTATTAAATTATTGGATTCGATTTTTATTTTGCTTACGTGTAAATTAACCTATGGCTTTTCCGGTGCAATAACATTACAGATTACATAAAAAAAACAAAATACAAGTAGGTTGTATTGGAAACTTTTGAATCAAAAGATTATTTTGATATTTGACAAAAAATTCCCTGAAATATCCCTAGAAATATCACCAGTTATTCAAAAGACCGACATTTTAGCGTAGTTTAGGGTGATCCGAACCTAGCATTTAATTCAGTGCTTGTAATCAAGTTTATATTTATTTTATGGTTTGATTTACTTTTTAGTTCACTCATCGTGATTTAAAAAAATTGATTAAAAAAAGAATTGATTCTTTTACATTTAAATGATTCGTTCTTTTTGAACGAATCGGAATCAAACTTGCCACCTCTAGTTTACTTTGATATCGAAAATTCACGTGAATTAAAAATTACTTTCATATTTCTAATTCCACTACATTTTTGAGTTTAAAATAGTTAACACAATAAAAAATTCCTAATTAAAAAATAATTTGGGGTTAACGGAACGCCAAAGCACTTTTTTTCAGATACCTATCTCTAAACTCCTTTCCATAATTTTGTATAAATATCTTCAGTAGGTATATAAATGCTATTTGTGTTATTTTTTGACCAAAACGAAAAAGCTTTTAAGTTGGTCTTTTACAGAAAAACACCCTTAAAAATGTGCAAAAAACACAAATCACATGCAAAAAAATACCATGCGTTAGTTTATTAAATTAATTGTTAACCAAATATTCCGTTAATCATCAATAATTAAGTTTAAACTATTTTATATACATTTTAGTACACTATCTACAAATATATCGAAGAATTTTCTACTCATGACGAAAGTTGCATTAGAGCGATATACATGAAATTAGTAACGAAATGATTATAAATATTTTAATAAAAAATTACCTGTATGTTTGAATTTGATTTAACGGTTTGGTTTTTTCCTCTACTCCATTACCATTCGACAAATTATCTGTACAAGGACTAAGACGAACACTGAAAAACCACACCAGGCATGTTAGAAATATTATTAAAAAAAATGCGAAAAGAACACCAAACTAAAATTATAATTTACCAGTAATTTAAGTTTTGATCACTTTTTTGTAAATGAACTTGAATAAATGAAATAGTAATAATAGAAAGGCTTGAATAAATAAGTAAAAAAATCTGGAAAATAGAATAGACAAAATATAATTAAATATAGTATAGAAGTCAAAATAATAAGACCTGTCTTTTAAATGTAAAATACACTGCCCGTCAAAATTAACGCATAATAAGTAAAAAAATTCTAACTCTAAAACGCCTTTAATTTTGGATAAAAATACTTTAACTTATATCTCAGTTTAAGTGTTCAAGGGTTTTTCGAAATAATATCCTTAAAGCCCTTTTATTTAATAATAAAAAAACGCTCGAAAACTTTTATAGGGAACGTTTTTTTATTATTAAATAAAAGGGCTTTAAAAATATTTTCTCGAAAAACCCTCGAACACGTAAACTGATATATAAGTAGTTTTTGACATTGTAAAATTTGACTTTGACATTTGACTTTGACATTTTAAATAATAAATATTGACATATCAAAATTATAATATGTGTTTTGACCTACTATGCGCCACACTTCAAAATGTTGTTGTGGTTTTAAGTTTCTTGTGATTCATTTTCTTTAGATTTTTAAATGTTTGACATTCTAATTTTTTTTGTCAATTTTAGCTTAAAAGACAGGACCCAATAATTTCAATAACCGTGTAATTTTTAATTTAACTTACCTATTAACATCTTTGACGTTTCTCTGCCCATCAATTTTTTCATAATCACAATATGCACCCTCATCTCCATTATCAGGAGCCGGCGAAACGGTTGAAGGCGTCGATATGCTGGAACCATTTTGCTCAGCCTTACTGTTACTGTTAGTGTTGGCACTATTCCACGCTTTGTCAACCTCCCCGACAATCTCCTGCGACCACCTTTTGTCGTAGCAATCGCTGCTCGTGCTGTAACCGCTGTCCACGTTCTGTCTCTTGTGTTTTAGTCTGTCCGCCAGATGCGGCGGACCCGGAGACGATCTCTCGTTGCTTCTTCTGGACTTTCTGCTTAGCGTTCCGGAGTTGGTGACTCCGTTCTTGCGGTCCAGTTTTATCGCCTCGTTCTCCAAGTACTTGAAGATGTGCACCCGGCCGCGTTTGCACAGCTAAAAGAAGAATAAGGATTAGGATGTTTCGATTAAAACGACTATATTTTGTTTTTCACCGAAACTTCAAAATTTTGGTCAAAGCATCGGAAAAAAATTCCCTCAAAGTTATGTATTTTTAATCACTTTTTTTTAATTTCTCATATCATATTGAGGTTCATTGTTACTTTGTTACAGAGTATTTAATGCTGGGTCTTTCCATCTCAAATCGACCAAGCAAAATGGGTATTTTTTAACGAATTTTTTTTTACATTTTCTCTACGGAAATCGATGAGACCCGTATTTTTTCTTTTTGTTTAAATTTGTTTTATATACCCGTTGAAGAATGAACAGAATCATCGATTTTTCTCTTTTTACGAGTGACATATTTTCTTGAAAATGCGATAACTTGGCCAAAAATGTTTCGATCGTTACAATTTTTTTTTAATTGTAGGTAAATGTTTACTACATACATACAAAAAATATATATATAAAAAAATAAGTAAATTCACACAATTTTTTTAATTGTTTTTTCTAAAAAAGGCAAACAAAAATTGAGGTCATAAATTTTGACATTGCCGCATTTTTTTTTACTTCATATTTTTTTCGTTTGAAAATGATAATATGAACAACTTTCACCAAAAGTCCCGAGTTGGCTAAATTCGTCGTTTCGGAATTATAATTTTTTAATATTCTAGTAAATTCGTGGTTCATTGCAAAATTTGGTATATTATCTATGGTCATGAAAATGGGGTGACCTTTATAAAGTGTAATTTAAGTATTAAGCCTAAGAGGTCCAGACACTAATGCTCATGTTAATTATGTTTAGAAATAAAAAAAATATTTAATTTCATATTTCGTTTCTTTATTTATTGCAAGATATTTCATACAATGGCCACACTATGGGGCAGTTAGATATAACTTTTTATAATCTTTTTAAAATATTTGAATTATTTTATTTAGTAGATTTAAAACCAAAAAATTTTGAGCAATTACTTGCACCCCTTTGATTCTAACCACCTTAATTATTATTTTTATTTTATTTTATAAAAAGTTTTAGCGTATATTTTCGTAAGTAATATCATAAGGGCATTTAATTTTTCCGAAAAGAATCGAAAAAACACGTTGCTAAGTGATATTTTAACAAAAAGCATGAGTGCTGGTGGCAACAAAAATCCGAGTCGAAGAGGAGGATTTTTGCACCTGCACGAATGCTTTTTGTTAAAAAATATTACTTAGCATTGTGTTTTTTCGATTTTTTTCACAGGAAAAATTAGATGCCCGAATGGTATTTGACAAGACTATTTCATGAGTAACATTTAACAATTAAAATATAAATTAAAATTTTTGGTGACAACAGCTGTCAAGTTTTGCCGCGGGGTAAACTCGAAAAAACTGCTGACAGGTGCTGTCACACAGTTTTTTCACCTAGAAACCATTTGTAATTTAAAATTTCGCGTTTGTGATTGGTGGAAATTAAGACGAGGGAAATAGTCATAGTAAAATAAAATGTTAATATTCATTTACCAGCAAAACAAATCAACGATTTGTCAGATCTGATACTTATTTTAAACACAAAGGTTTCAAAGCCTTCTTAATTTATTTGTATACACTTTAAAACCTTATAAACATACAAATTTAATTAAAAGTTTGAAAGCGATATTATTAAAAAAATAGTTAATATTTAGTATCAAATTTTAAAAATTGTATTTCTTGACCAAAATAAATAAATAGTCTTGGCATAAAGTATGGTATTTCAATTTTTGAAAGCTCCTAAAAACCAGCATTGCAAAAAAAGAATAAAATTAAAATATTTTTTCCAGACTACTTGGCCCAACATGAAGCAGAAAAGCCACTCTAAATATGGAAATAAAATTTAAAAAATGATTTGATCTGTCAAAAATTGACAAATGACATATGTTCGTATTCAGAATTTTATTTTCAATCGAAATATGTAAATATGCAAAGGGTGTTTCATTAAAAAATAAAAAGTTAAGGTGAAACTGGAAATATGTCAAAAAATTCTAAATTACACTTTATAAAGGTCACCCCAGTTTTATGACCCTAGATAAAATACCAAATTTTTGCGATGAACCACGAATTTACTAGAAAATTAAAAAATTATAATTCCGAAACGACGAATTTAGCCAACTTGGGACTTTTGGTGAAAGTTGTTCATATTATTAACTTTAAACGAAAAAAATATAAATTAAAAAAAAAAACGTGGCAATGTCAAAATTATGACCTATTTTTTTAGCCTTTTTAGAAAAAAACAATTGAGTGAATTTGCTTTATTTTTTTGGTATGTATACTATAGTAAACATTTACCTACAATTTAAAAAAAAATGTAATGATCCAAACATTTTTGGCCAAAAAATGATGTTTCTGTCCATTTTTCAAAAATTTCCTACGGGCGAACAAAAGTCATTAAAAATACATGCGTTTTAAATGGGAAAAATTCAAAATGAAAAAGGAAGTACTTAAAATCAAAAGTAAGGGCTAAAACTTTGAGGGATTTTTTTTCCGATGTATTGAACAATATTTTGGAATTTTAGTGAAAAACAAAAAATAGTCGTTTTAAATGAAACACCCTAATAACTTATTAGTAATAAGGATGCAGGTTTTTAACGTTTTTCGGTAATTCTGTCTTACACTGGCTGGCGGACTGGTCAGGGGATTGTCATCGACTAGCAAATCGATCAAGGTCGCAATCCGCTTCAGCTCTATCGGCAAAGTGGATATCCGGTTGGCCCTGAGGTCCAGCCTCGCGAGCCTGAGTGTGGTTATGTCGACCGGCACGGCCAACAGCAGGTTGTTGCGCAGCACGAGGGATTGCAGACTGCGCAGCTCGCCCAAACGCGGCGGAAGGTGCGTCAGCTGGTTGCAGCTGGCGTCGAGTTCGGTCAGCTGCGTCATGCGGCTCAGCTCGTCCGGCAAGCTGCTCAAGTTGTTGTTGGACACTAAAAGGATCTAAAAAATATGTTAGTTTTAAAAAGTTTCTTGAACAATTTTTAGTCTGTGACTAAAACGCAGCTTGCCAATTTGAGAATAAAAAATATATAATGTATTTTTTCCACTCCCACCTTTAAAACGCCCATTACTGTAGATGTTTTCATGACACTAAGTGACCTTTTAAATACACATTGACAAGTTGTGGCTTTATGGCGCTTTAATCACGGGCTGAAGTTAGTTTAAGGTTAGTTGACAGTTGTCAAATGTCATACAATCGTCAAAATAAAGTGCCTTTCTTGTAAAATAATACCTACTAAATGTGAAAATTATTTTTTTATCTCAATACAAAAATACATAAGTGTTAAATAGTTTCTTTACGCCAATATTTAAAAAGATTATATGAACGTTTTGATTTCGCCGTAGTAGTGCAGTTAACTAGATTTAACTGATAAAGTTTACAAAGTTTGCCTACAGTGCCCATAAAACATTCACTTCTCTTTTATTGTGAAAAACTGCTTCTATATAGATTGTTTGTCTATTTTAAGGGATAAGTTTTTGATTCTTATACCTTTAACTTATTAGAAGAAAAAAAATCAAAGGATAAAATATTGTCTTAACATAATCTTATTTTGAAGTTATTTTAATATTTTTAAGTTTCAATAATTGTTAAATTATATAAAATAATACCGGGCAATGTTAATATTGAATATTAAGTTAAAAATGTTTATTAAGATGGTTATTTTATTTTCGTTTAGATGTCGCTTTATACAAATATTTATTTTTAAAAATTTTTTAGATTAGGTACCTATATTAAGTATTTTTCGTAGAAAATGTATAGTATGCAAATTGTTCATAAACTTTATTAAATTAATTAAATTCGTGACTAAAATGGCGTTTATCTGTATCTAACTTAATACATAATAATAATATTATTATTATTATTATTATTATATTATAATATTAGCCCTTTAAAATGTGTTTTTGACAAGATTTGATATTTTAAAGTAATTATAAAAATATTATGGTTTTAATATTCTAAAACCTAATAATGTGTTTTTGACAACTTTAAAATGTTGGCATTTTAATAGTTTATTAATATACATATTTATGTATTAAGTTTGATAAACACCATTTTAGTCATGAATTTAAATTAGGCACAAGTGACATTAAATACATATCTAGCAAAGTTTATAAACGAGTTGAATACTATACTTTTTACACGACAAATAGGTACTTATTATTATCTAAAAATGTTTTAAATTAGATATTTGTATAGAGAGACATCTCTACAACAATAGAGTAACCGTGAAAATGGGAATGTGTATTACCAGCGGCAAATGTGAAATTTTTCTTTGTAAATCGAAATGTATCCCTTGAAAATGGACTAAGAAACGTTTAAATCCGATATAGAAGCAGTTTTTTACAGTGAATGTTTTATGGGCAAATTTAATGCTTTATCAGTAATATCTAGTTTACTGTCGGTCACAGTCTTATATAAGACTGCTTGGTTTTTACAAAAATTTTTTAATGTCAAAACCAAGAAGACTAAATGTCAAAAATATGTTTTTGACATTCTGAACTTATTTCAATAAGTCTTAATTTATTAAATTTTACATTCTAAAATGTATTTGACATTTCAAATTGTATTTGTATTTTTACATTGTAAAAAATGTGGTTTTTAAATAAGCATTTATTGTCAGATTTAAACAAACCTAAAAAATCTGAATTCATTTATTTAGACTTAGAATCGCGCCGACCAACTGGTGTAATTTAAAAAAAAATGAATTTGATGAATAAATTTACATGGCAACTATGCAAGTGGGAAGCAGTTGTAAGTGTTTACATAACATATATAATTTAATAGTATTTTTAGTTGTTAGCTCGACTTTATTAAATATTTATTCATGAGCTCTGGGAAGGATCTTGCAACAGATAAAGATTAAAAAGATTTATTATGACCATAATAATAAGTACACGAGTTTATTACAACCGTGATTTGTTTTACATATCAAAGAACATTTCTTTAAGAAAAAATTCATTTAAATGGTATTTTTCGTACTTATTATACCAATATAGATAAAAAACTACTTTTGAAAATGAAAATATTTGCATTATTTCTGATAAGTACTAGGTGTATTTTCTCACGGTGCTTCCCAGGATCTTAGTTTATTTATGCAGTGACAAACATCAATATTCCATGGGCATGCACTTCGTCTTTCTACGTTTGGCTGCACTGAGCACAAACAAAAAAGCGTCTGCGTCAATTAAGGCATCCATGCCCCAACAAACGCACGCACACTTTGATGGGATTTATTTATTTGTTCGGCTTGCTTGGATTAAAAGGGGTTAATTGTTATTTGATTATTGTAATTTAATTTTTGGAAGCATCTGTGTGGCTTAATTTTTTGTTTTGAACGAAGTTAAGAGATTGTGGGGATTAAAATTTGTTGCTAAATAATTTAAGGTTCAATAATAAATAGATTATTAGTATTAATTTATCTTATTATGTCATTGTGTTATCGGTTAAAATTATTAATCTTATCAATCTCAATTTATTTTGTTTTTATTATAGTTAATTTATATTTATAGAACATAATTTAATTTGGGTTGGTAGTAATGTAAAATAATTAAATAAATACATATATGTATATTGCTACAATTTTACATAAAATTTGAAATTTGAAAATTATAATTTTACTGATATTTTGCGTTAAAATATAGGTAAAATGAATTTTTGTTTTTTGTTGAAGAATTTACTTCAATTAATATAAAAAAAAAGTGATGGTAGTATCCCCATTTCAAGACTATGATAAATAAATAACAGTAGGCCTTGACAGCAAATTCAGCAGTGCCAATGGTAAAAATAAAACGTTGTATTTTAATTAACAAACTAATACTTTATTACAAATTAAAGTATCATTAAAAACTAAAAACAATATAAAAATTAAATAAGCAACAATATAAATTGTACATTTGTTGTTATAATGGCAAAATTAAGGTTTAAAACGGTCATATATTTGTGTTTCTTAAGTTGGCAGCACAAAATTTTAAATAACCATTATTTTCATTTCAAATTTCGTGCAATTATTTAAAAAAAGTGCTAAAAATTGTTTTTTGAGATTTTCATCAAAAAATATACTGTAATAATTAATTTCTACGCCATAAACATCTACTTTTTTAGCTGCTTAAGTATAGAAATGAATTTTTGAAAAAATGTATGGAAAGTCACACTTGTGTAGAAGTGTTATTTTCCAGATTTCCCGTTTATTGATTCAAAAATTCTATTTTGACATTTCCATAAGGAAGACAGTTAAATAATTGAGGTTATGTATCTGTCAGTTTAAAGCTAATTTCGTCTTTCAGAAAACATTTAATGAACATAATACAACATGTGTGCTTTTTGTGTATAAAGGTCATAATTTATAACACAAAAATTCATAATAATATATTAAATTAAATAAAGAAGAAAGAAAATAAGACGAAATTGGCGTTAAACTGGCAGATACATAATTATTTGACTGTGTTCCTTATGTCAAATCTCAAAATGGGACTTTTGGAGAATAGTTCATATTTATGTTTTTATATAATTTTTTTTCTTTTTGAGAAAATTAAATAATTATCCTATAAAATAATGCAAAAGTACCTGTATTGGTAATTGACATAATTCTCTGGGTAAGGTGGTCAGCTGATTCCTGCTGAGATCTAAAAAACTTAAACATTGCAGACTGCTGACTGTATCGGGAATGTACCGTATGGCATTGTGGTAGCACTGTAACTTTTCTAAAAAATGAAAACTCGTCACTTCCTCTGGAAGCTCGCTGAATCGGTTTTTTGATAAATCTGAAACAGAGAAAATCAAAAAATTAGTATAACAATAAAAAAACATGTTAAAAAAAAAACGAAAACAAGGAATTTGTCATGTTTTGTAACGTAATAACTTTCAGTTTATTTCGTTGGCAAAATTTCAAACGGGCACATCCAAAAATAAATTATACCTTTAAATTTTCAAATCTAATTTGAATTCTAAAGCTGTGCACTTCTTTATTCATATGCTGATTACATACTAGTGGTTCTTTGAATCTATTTTTTACAAGGTATACGGCAGGATATTGCTAAATATTGAAATTGCATTGAAATAACAAAATACTATAATATGTTCAATCAGTAAAAAAGATCAGCCATTTTTTTAAACACAAATATCCCAAAATTTAGATAAATAATAATAATTTGGGGGATAATTAAAAATAGTTAATCTCAATAACAGGTCAAAATTTAAAACTTCTAACTGAAAAAATACAGAAGATATTAACGATTTTCTAAAATCCCAAGCTTTTTCCTCCGGTGAATACACTATACATTTTACAATAAAATTAGAACGATCCATTTTAAAATATTTTTTGTTTTCTACATATTACAAAAAAATGCTATAGCATTTTCAAAACTGAGAATATTTTGAAGAGTTAAAAATATAAAAATTGGTGTGCAAATAAAGATAAATAAATAAATTCAATTTTAATCCAAAAATTCGGAATATAAAATATTTTCCCAAATCCCACGCTTTTTCAACCAGGGAACAAACTATATCTCAGATTAGATCAGACCACTAGAACAATTTAATAAAATTTTGTTTTCTTTTCATTTCACACAAGCCACGGCGCTGTGAGTCAGGGTTGCTTGAACTTGGGCTATTTTAAAATTAAAGTTTGTTAGTGTGGCGGCAGGTGCCCCCTGTAATTTTTGTTTTTTCGTTAGTTTTAAAACGAAAATATACGGCCAATTAAAGCGCCTGCCGAGAGATGTGGCATTAAGCAATTCGAGAAAAATTTGGTATTAATAGAATTTGTTTTGCGCGAATTTTTGACATTGAGCTAAATACTAAAGTTGATAAGTTGGTGGGTATTGATACACAATTGGTTGGTTTTTGGTAATATGATTAGATACAAATATGCAAAGTATATTTATATTGATTTTGTTATATAAAAGCTTATTTTAGTTTAGCAAGTTTCCATGTCTTAGATCAATGAAATAGGATATTTTCCGTACGGTCGCCTATAGATACAGGGTGTTCCGAAAATGTCACACCATCAAACGTTATAGAGTAGGTTATTTTGAATTTTTTCTACTCTCACCTTTAAAACACCCATTATCGTACCTACATGTTTCCATGACACTAAGTGACCTTTTAAATACACATTGACAAGCTGTGGCTTTATGGCTCTTTAGTCACGGGCTGAAGTTAGCAACATGTTTTTAGTCACGGGTTGAAGTTAGTTGACGGTTGTCAAATGCCAAACAATCGTTAAAATAAGGTGCTTTTCTTGTAAAATAATAATAAAAACATTATTTTATTTTCTCAATACAAAAATACAAGAGTATTAAATAGTTTCTTGATGCCAAAATTTGAAAAGATTATATTAACTTTTGAACTGACCTTTTGATTTCGCAGTTGACTAGAGTTGACTTATAAAGCGTTAAAATTTTGCGGACAGTGCCCATAAAACATTCTTTTACTGTGAAAAACTGCTTCTATACCGATTGTTAGTTTATTTTCAAGGGATAAACTTTGGTTTACAAAAATTTGAGATTTTAACGCCCGTAGATTCCCAAGTTAGAAATTCTAACGGGAATTCCAATAAATACAACTACCGTGTAAGAATTTTGAATACTTTGCGATAATATTTTAGTAATAAAAAAATCAAAGGATAACATATTCCTTTAACAATCATATTTTAAAGTTATTTTAATATTTTTAAGTATCGATAATTGTTAAGTTTAATTAAAATAATAACGGGCAATATTAATGGTGAGAATTACGTCAAAAATGTTTATTGGGATGGTTACTTTATTTTCGTATAGATGTCGCTTTATACTAAATACTAATTAATTTATATCATTTTTAGATAGAAAAAGTATAGTATCCAACTCGTATATAAACTTGTCGAGGAACTTATTTAATTTCTCTCGCAAGCTCGCTTGTGCCCAAATTAAATTCGTGACTAAAATGCCGCTTATCAAACTTGATACATATATGTATATTAGGGTGCTTTTTTTCACGACTATTTTTATTTTTTCGCTCCCAACTCAAAATCTTGTTGAAAATGTTAAAAAAAAAAATTCCCTGAAAATTTGAGCTCGCTTGTGCCCAAATTAAATTCGTAACTAAAATGCCGCTTATCAAACTTGATATGTATATTAGGGTGCTTTTTTTTTTACGACTATTTTTATTTTTTCGCTCCCAACTCTTGATATTAACTCAAAGTACTCTACCAAAGCGTATAAAGATTTCTCATTTAAAATACACGTAAACTGTGATTATTTTTTTTTAATATCTATATCTCAGCCGTATTTTATGCTATTGGAACTTTAAAGAGAAAATATATATCTAACCTAAAAATTGATATAACGAGGTGTATTACATACAACATGTTATTTTATTAATAATTATGCTTGATTGTATTAGTTATTTATTTTTCTCTAATCACCCGACTGTGGAACAAACGTAATTACATGAAATTGTACTGATAAACAATTAAAAATCATCATTTATAAACAGTTTGGTACGAAAATCCTGAAAATTTCATAAAATGTCTCAACAAATATCAATCTTAGCGATTCAACTGATAAGACCTTTTTTAAGAAAAAATAATCAAAGTTTACGTGTATTTTAAATGGGAAATCTTTATACGCTTTGGTAGAGTACTTTGAGTTAATATTAAGGGCTCAAATTTTCAGGGAATTTTTTTTTGAACATTTTCAACAAGATTTTGAGTTGGCAGCGAAAAAATAAAAATAGTCGTGAAAAAAAAAGCACCCTAATGTATTTACTATTAAAACAATATGGTAATTTTTCACTTAAATTCCAAACTTTATTTAAAACGCCCTTAAATTTAATAATGAAATTGCAATTAAACCCTACTTAACATTCATTGGCTAATTTAACTTTCCAATGAAATAATGGAAGGCATTTCCTTGGACAATTTGGCTGGCCTATCCCACCCAGCTTGTCTGCGAATTTAGATTTAGACTATAAAAGACTAAAACTTCGTAAGGGGTGGTATGCCATTATTAATTCGAATGGGAGCGTATTGATTCATTCTGTGAAAAGAATACGGCTACAGCTAAAAGCAGGCACTAAACCTTTATTTCTGTTTCTCTGGCCTTATTGATGTAATACCGAGTGCTTAAGGCGATTACAAAATGTCAATTAAAATGACGGTAGGTAATGGAAATAAATGTTTCGAGAGTTTTAAATTTATTTGGTGTGGCTTTTTAACAAACGCTTATAAAATGATTAATTGTAGTTTTGATGAATGGATCGGTTATTAGGTTAAGCATGATGAATTGTTGAATTATTTAAATTTGATTCTTTTGGGAATAAAATATTTAAAGTGTGCAAGTTAATGATGCAGCATATATATGTATATCAAAAGTTTGCCACCCAACTTTGAATATTGTCTTCTTTAATTACCTTCTCTTGTACAGTTGTATTATTTGTTAAAACATTAAAAAAAATATTGACAGCGAATGTAGGTACATTTCTTTTTTATTAATTTGTAAACCAGTGCTATCACAGATGCGGATGTAAATGCAGATGCTAAAATTATTGCGGAAGTTCCGCGATTGCGGAAGTGTTAAACACTTTTAGGGGATTTTTTAGCAAGTTTAGGACAATCTTGAAATATTTTTTGAACAAATACCTGTTATACGGAGATTTAAAGATATTCTTTTTAACCGGGCATATATTTGTATAATAAGATAAAAAACCTAAATATCGTTTTTTGGTTCTTAGATTTTCTTATTCCACGTGCTAAAATATTACAAAAACTTTATTTCATACTTATTTTATTAAGGTGAAAACCACAAAGTTTCTTAATTAGCTTACGGAAGTCCACTGAAATAAAAACAATAAACCATAAACCATAAACCAAATGCTAGTTTTTCTTCCAACAGCTCCAGATAATTAAAGTGCATGCACATAACACTTTTAAAGTAGCCCTCTGCATATCCAATTTTATATTCCACGAATTCAATAAATCTTAGAACTTACAAGTATATACTCCCCCAACCTATCAGATTTACAGTTACTAGGTGCATTTTCGCCATATTTTCGAGTGCCTAGCCCCCCCACCCAAACCCCCAGACCATATCGTCTGGTGGCCATAAGTGAAAAACAAGAGCTTTGACTTGTGCCCCTTCGTATCGATTGCGACGCTCGTGTCTGAAGCAGATGTGAATGCATAAAACACAGCCGAAGCGAGCTCGTGAAATTGTGCAGTGGCACCCGTGGCTGAGCATGTGGGGTTGTTTTTATTTTGTGCACACGCCCACATATGTACATTTCATTCATATCATGACGTCGATAAATCTTTTACATGTCGTTTGCACGCAGGATTTTTATGTACTTATTTTTGGTTTTGGACTGGTGGATTGTGTGAGGATTAATGATTTTTTGAAGGCATATAATAAAAAATTCATGTCTAATACAGTGAAAAAAATAATTATATACATTTTTATTAAACATTGGATGATATTATTAATAAGTTAATATGGCTTCTTTTAGAAACATTACCCTTTTAGTTTTATTTTTAATTTTTTTTTATGTATGTATTTATTGGAATTCCTGTTAGAATTTTTAACTTGAGAATCTACCGGCGTTAAAATCTCAAATTTTTCTGTGTTAATCAGTTTTTTTTTTCAAACTTTTGAAGAGTGCTGATTTTGTTTCCAGTATTTAAATGCCATTTTAATGGAATTATTTGAATAAAAATTACTTTACAAAAAAAGTACTGTTTGTATTTTTATCTATTTTGCGTTCATAATGACTTCATTATAACACCGCT